ACTGTTTTAGCAATTACAGGGATGGTATTTTAGGATTATAGTTGATGTACTGTTTCAATTATGTTTTATCAACTATTTGGATTATGTGGATTTATGTGATGTATTGATTGAGTTGTTGCATCATTTACGGATCATATGTATGGTATGCACCGGTATGGGACGGTGGTATACGGAGGGACGGATTAGATCAAAACGCTAATTCTAACCCATTCATACATACGGAATGGTTTAACTAAAATAGTTAAATCCTACATAGATGCATGTCCTGTCAACTAAAACAGTTGAACGACATAACGGATGGTTGTTTATATTTCTGTATTGGGAAGGATATGGATTTAAGTAAAACATTTAAATCCTAATTATATGTCGTGTCTGAGCAACGAATAGTCGACCGGTTCGACATTGTATTTGGATAGAGGTTATATATGTATTTATGATACCGCGATATGAGCTTGAGTTTCAGGATCGTTGGTTAGGGTGCGTATATGCAGTGGATGCGTAGCTGGCTATAGTAGGTTGAGGTATACCCTGTTAGGTCTAAGTACTCATGCCCACCTTTGAGTGCGTTTTCGCATGTTGCCTTCTATTTAAGTTGAGACCCCTACTGTAGCTGAGTGAATGTCCTTTAGTGTGGATATATATATTTTACGGACTATATAGATATGGTTGAGATATCTAGGGTGTACCTGCGTATTAGGTCTCTGTTTGGATTGTAGTTAGGATAGAACTTATTCGTGGGCCTGAACCACTATTATTTTTCAAGTAACGGACAGTTCTAGGTCTTAGAGCTGGTTCGTGCTGAGCAGAGACGACTACTCATCTACCGATGACATAGGAGGTTTCTTCATGGTTTAGCAGTGGACTTCTTTTCAGTTGTTCGCTTTCCAGTATTTGTTTTGATTAAGGGTCCATCAGATGGATTCCCGAGTTGTATTAGAATTGGAAAAGTTGGATGTATCAGATTAATACTTTATTTATAAAATTTTATTCTGAGGTTTTCAGTTTTGGATTATCATTCTAGTTTCTTTTCAGCAGTTTTATTTATTCCTGTTTCCTTAATTGCATTCTGTGTTCGTTTATTGCTAATTGGTTTAATATCCTCGGGTAATCGGGCGTGGGCCTGACCAACCCGCATCCGGAAATCCTTGGGTATCACACAAACCTCTAGATGAAAAACTAATGAAGAGCTGAAATAACATCTTGGAGGCATACCCCCAAGATGTCCATTACTTCCCACAAAAAACTCTTAGCCACTTCAACTAGAGAAACAAAAGTTCCATTATACATTCTGTCATTCCTTTCTTTCCAAAGAGAATAAAATGTGGCAGTGAACAACATCCTATAAAGCTTTGTTCTCTGAGATTTAATCTTAAACTGCACTGTAAAATCCAAAGCCATATCTCGGATTGAAGTATATGACTTTAACCTCCAATGACAAAGGTCTGCCAAAGATCCCCAAACCTTCCAAGCAAACTCACAACAGCAAAAGATATGGTCCCTATCCTCCACACCCTTGCAACAGAATATACATCTCAAAGCTAAGGAATAACCTTTTCCTTGCAATAAGTATTTGTGAGTACTGAATTTTGCAACACCAGAACAGTAAAGGTAGACCATCTGTGTCTACCACCATTCCAACAGAGATCACACCAGTTCACTTCCTGCCTTCTAATTCGACAAACATTCCATGCTGATTTAAAGGTAAACTGTGAATCTTGCTAAGAGATTTTATCCTCCCCACTATGAATAATCTGTTGAAGTATGTCCTGCTGCATAACCAGTGGAAACTTATTCATATCCCATTGAAATAAAATCACCAATGCATATGTTTTTATCTCTACTCGGTTGATGTAACACCCTGTGACAATATAAATTTGATAAAAAATTTCCATCACACCAAGGATCAAGAAATTTTTTTATTCCACTGCCATCACTAATAGCATATCTGGTATGAAGTTTCAGAATATCCCTCACTGCCACAATACTCCTCCACAATGATGAAGAAGAATCCTTTGGAATCACTTTCCAAAATGAAGAATTCTATAAATAATAATTCTTATACTAGGCCACCCAAATCCTATCTTTTGATACTAGGAAATCCCAAGCAAGGTCAATATCATGTACTCTCCTCAATCCCATCCCTCCTTCTTCTTTAGGAGCAACTAGCTTTTTCCAGTTTAAACCATGGATTTTCCTGGTGGAATCATTCTACACTACAAGAAAAGTGTGTTTTTACGACTAGCATTTACGAGGCTTATTTATTTTGCCTCATAAAAACTGCATTTGACGAGGTTCAAAAGGGGTTAACAGGGTGTAAGCGCCTCTGTTGCCCAAGAATTGACTCTAGAGGGGGGGTGAATAGAGTCAATGCCAAACAATGGACAATTTTCGCAATATATAGAAATACAATTTCTATTCAACAATTTAAGTAATTATGCAATAATCAAGATATGAGATCAAGATATGGAATAAGCAATTAAAGCATAATTATAAAAGAGAAAAGGGAAGAGAAATTGCAAACTACAACACGGCGATTTTTGCGAGGTTCGGAAACTCCTACTCCTCGGCTCAAGATCCCTCTTGAGACTTCCCAATCCAATACTTCTCCTTGCGGGTGGAGAGCAAAACTTTACATGAAGCAAGACCTTGCTTCTTTTCTTTGCTAGGAGAACACCCTTCTCCTAGGCTTCTTTTGGGTCACACCAACCCTTACAAGTTTGTAGAAAAGATTGTAATTGAAATACAAGATTGAATCTCTCTTAAGATAGATATACAAGTGCAAGCTCACAAGAAATATCTCTCAAAGATTGATGTACAAACTTTAGCTCTCAACTAGAGTATATATGAATATAAGTGAAGCTCAAACTCTATAAATGATATGAATGAGAGAAGATGATATAAGTGAAGAATGTAAGCTTTTATAATCTCTCAAGTGAATAATAAAGCACAAACTCTATAAGGATTCAAATAAGAGCAAAAGCCCTTTGAATGCTTGATTGAATCTCTCAAAATAGAATAAGCATGAAATGAGAGAGAGGAAGAGAAGATATGAGAACAACAGCTCTCTTTGATGCAATATAATGTCTCTCAACAATGGTATGGTTTATTTAGCATGCTAGCCCTCTGTATTTATAGAATTTTGAGACTCAATATAGCTGTTACAGGTTGTTGGGAAACATTTAATGAAAATAATTCCGTTGCAGTTCAAAACCCAGAAAGAGCCTGCTCTTAAAACAAGTGAGCCGTCTCTTTGTTCATTTATTCCTTAGAAAGAGCCGTCTCTTGTAAACAAGTGAGCCGTCTCTTTATTTTGAAGAATCATTTTTCCCTTAGAAAGAGCCTACTCTGTAAAACAAGAGAGGCGGCTCCCTAGCTTTGAGAGCCTGCTCTATATTTCTTTGGAGCCTGCTCTTTGGTTAGAAACATTAGTCCTTCATTAAAAAGCCTACTGGAATTGAAAAGAGCCTTCTCTTTTATTTCATGGAGCCTTCTCTTTTATTTCATGGAGCCTTCTCCATCTCATTGAGCCTTCTCTAATTTTTCATGGAGCCTTCTCTAATTCCCATTGAGCCTTCTCTAAATTTCATTGAGCAGGCTCTATTAGCCTTGAGAGAGCTAGCTCTATTTCTTATAGAGGTGGCTCTTGCTTCATGAAGGCTGCTGCTGAGTTGGTTTGGACAGAAAAAGTTCATGACTTCAGATGGACATAACTCAGTCCATGAAACTCCAAATGAGGTGAAATTTAAGTCTAAATTGATTACCTTGAAGTAAGCTTTCTAATGCCACTAGCCTTGCTCAAAAATTCTAAACACATAAATGGTTATGGCCATTTTAGTGTAACCTGGTCAGAATTTTCGCAGAGCAGAATCAGTTATCTTGTGATGGTTATATCTCTCTCAATTCAAATCCTTTTTAGGTGAAATTTGAGTCTAAACTCAAGGGCTCGAAGTCAGCTTTCCAATGCCACTGGCCTTGTGTAAAAATTCCAACTACACAAATAGTTATAGCAGTTTTAGTGCAAGCTGGTCTGAAATTTTCTAAGCTGAAAATAGTTTCTTTTGAGATATCCATCTTTCTAGCACCTAGGACTCTGATGAATGATTCAATTAAGTTCAAGGCCTATTTCTAAGAGTCTTGGGACATATGAAGATGATAAATTTCAAGTGCATTGTGTCCAAGAGTTATTTACCAAATTTTGGCAACAAAAGCTTTAAAGATGAAAAATTAATTCAATGCCTTTTCCTTTTCTTTTTAGAGACCAAAATAAATCTTATGATTAATGTGCATGGTCCTAGCATTTCTAGCTCAAGTTGCGAGTTCTTTCAAAGCTTATGCAAGCTTGAACTAACCCTTTCTTAGCAAAGACTTCATATGACAATATCTATGAATGAAGTGCAAAGTCTATTACTAAGGATATAAGAATATGTGAATGATGATAATATGCATGATCCTATAGAGATGAGCTTCAAATGGATTCATAAATACTTTGACATTGAATCCAAAACACTCACCATCCTATCTACCCCTTTTCTTCATGCATTGTCTATGATCGTTTAGGCTTGAGGTAGTATTGCTTTCTTTCTTCCTTTGAGTTGCTTTCTTGCTCATTGAAGTCCAAGCTACCTTTGGACATTGCATTTTGTTCCTTGCAACTTCATGTCGTCATTGTATCCATTTCTTTCCTTTATGTGATCTTGAGTAATGGAATACTTTGAATGATCTTTGGTGCTTCATTGAGGTCATTCTTTGAATGTGAATAATCTATATTACACTCAATGTAAACATTAGTCCTTAAATACCATTAATGGTTTGTTATCATCAAAACACCTAGATTGTCATTGGATGAAATCTTTAAGGTCAACAGCCTCGTTAATGAAAGAGGCTAAAATTTCACCTTTCCCACACAGTTTCGCAGGATAAAATAGGGTAAAATATCACTTGAAATAAGCGCCTCATTTTCCTGCCCACAGAATTTCCCACTCCCGCGCCGAAGTTGATAATCAGTCAAAGCCCGCGTGGAAAAAAAAAATTAATTCCCTTTTCATTTAGACGAACCCTAGCGGCTTTTTTCTGTATTTGCTCTCTAGCACAACCAGTCCCCATTACCAAAGGCCTTTGTCTCTTTTTCACAGCAACAGCCTCCGAACTCACCACGCCCACCGGAGAAATTGAGCTTCAACGGAGTAGTCTACACTCGTTTCTACTCAACCCAAAGGTTCCTACTCAAATTTCCCTATTGGCTAACAAATTCGACCCAGACCAAGGCTCTAATCAGTTTCTTTCTTCCTTTATTTCTGCGAGGTTGAAGTTAGAGAGTTGAGAGAGAAACCATCTCAAACTATTCCGACCCAGACCAAGACAGAGCTATATCTTCAACCCTCTCTCTACCCTCTAAGGATCTGAACGCACATTCATTCTTTAGGTAATCTGCAATCCCTCTTTCTCTAACATTTTTAGGGCTTTTTTCAATCTCTCTTTCTCAAAAAATTTAGGGGTTTCTTCAATCTGTCTTTCTCTAACATTTTTAGGGCTTTTTTCAATCTCTCTTTCTGAGACATTTTTAGGGCTTTATTCAATCCCAACTTCTCAAACATTTTTAGGATTAACGCATGGGTTTTTTTTATTATTTATTTTTTTTCTCTGGTTTTATTGTAAATTGTGTTGGCTGAACTTGGTTTGTTTTTGGCTGGATTTGGGTTTTATTATTTTCCATTTCCTAATTGATTGTGTTTCTCTTTTTATTTGTATTATGTACTATATATATATTGTTTGTGCTATCATCTCTTGATTCTAGTCCAGCATTATGATTCAGCATTTTATTTATTCGACTTATTTTGGATGGTGTTGGAAAACCTTCTTATTGAGTGTATCACAAGAGCAAAAATAGTTGGCAATCATAAGCCTTTACTTCCTTCATGTGAGTGAGACCGGATTTGCCACCTGGAAATGGAATGTTAGAATTCCAAAAAGAATGAAGAGGCTATTCTCCGGAATTAGGAATTCGCCTTATCAAAATTTGTGAACATAGAAACTATGTATATAAGGATTATTTTTTTTCCTTGTGAATAAAGAACTTAACCACAAAATAATTTTCACAAGTTTTAAAAGAGATATGATGACCCGAATCAGTAAATAGTCAAAAGAAAAATATTGCTTAATGCAGGAAAATGAATCTACATTTTGAATGAAAATAAAAGTTGAATGAAAATAAATTACTTAATCACAAAAAAATCTACTGTTATTCTAATGTAGCTTTTCAATTTTTGCCTGAAAATGAAGATAATAAAATAATTTATGTATAATTGTATAATAAATTTGAATTATCTAACATGCTTGTTAGGTGTATGTCCAACCATACATTTTGGATACATATCACACATTAATGTCAAGGCGTGTGTTTGACAAGGATATGCCATGTGCTTTTTAAGAGTTCATGTAAATTACTCTAGTTTGATTTTGCAAAAAGTCATGATTGTGGCCTTCATTGAGCTTCATCTTCAATGTGATTTGTCAAACCTCATCCTAACGGTATATCCGATATCAAAGCAGTTGGTCCGATAATGAGACACAAGTCAGTTTTTTGTAAAATAAAAAAATAAAAAATAAAAAAAATAAAAAAAATATTCTTTCTAAAAGTTCATGCAAATACACACACTTACCATATATTTTTGCCCCTACTAAGAGTCATTGAACACTTGATCTCTCAAAATGAAAGAGAAGCTTATATCATCTAAGCTAGATTTTATTGGTGACACGGGTCAAAGTTATCAAAGCATTCCTCAAGCTTTTTATGTGACATAAGAGCCACACTTTCTCTCAAAACTACAATAGAGATGAATTTGCTTTCTTCTTGTTCACAAGTTTTTAACAATATTGTTAATGGGCCTAGTGTTTGCCCTTTAACAATATTGTAAAGGGGCTCCAGACCCTTTAACAAACAGGCAAATGCTTGTACATGGAATACTCGTATCTCTAGACATTGTAAAATGGGAAGTGTAATTTTATCCTTTTCCCTAGTTCATCTGGAATTGTATAATATACTTAATTTAGTTGAAAAATTAAGTTAGAATGAAGTCATAAGGACAAATTTGATGTCTCATTTTATTTTTGTTAATAAGTTGACTCTATTGACAATATCTATGGGAGAAATCCAACACATAATAGCCAGTATATATATATATATATATATATATAATGAATAAGAGATACTCGACCATGTAATTGTGTTGCATGTATCACCTTTTAGTTAATCTCGTAGTTTCTGCCATGCAACCCATGAACTACTATTGATGTGACCTACTTGACTGATGGTTGAATTTATCAAATAGGCTGAAATGGGGCTAAGAGGGAGTTAAGCTACATTAGACTAACAGTAAAATCTAAATAAATTACTTAATCACAAAAAATGAAAATAAATTACTTAATCACAAAATAATTTTCAGGCAATTTCCAATGAAAACTCATTATGGGCATTCTGCTACTCTACATGGCCAAGCTCTAAGTTGTAGAACAGGGAATATTTTTCTATCTATGCTGATAGTTGTGTTGCGCAAATAGAAAATTAGTTCTGAATTTTTAATTTCTAGCTCTTTTGCTTTAATTGTTTGATTCTTACACTTAGTTTATTTCCCATGCCCCATTCTCCAGTTACATTCATAGATGTTAATGCATTCATCAGTGATATTCCTGCATTACATAGTATGTCTATTAGTTTTAATCCTTTGGCAACCTCGTATCACTGTTATACTCATTTGTTACTTCACTCACCAGAAAAAAACATAAAAAATAATGTTCAACTACAAAAGATTGGTTGGCATAATTGATTTAAAATTTTTTTTTTTTTATTGTTAATCTTGATATTGTTTAAACTATGACAGCAAGAGAGTCATGGTAAAAAATTTATTTTATCATAAAATGGACATTTAAGCTATAGAAATAAAAAGTGAAAATGTGTAGTGTTTTTTTTTTCAATTTAAATGAAGATCTAGAAAGTAGAGTAATTCTACTCGAACCAGTTCTAAGATCTGAAAATTGTTTAATTCTTTTTATCTAACTTGAAATGCTTCTATATTTAAATGCAGTTCCATGTCAATATCTAATGGAAGACACAAATAAGAAAGTATCATATGGTGATGGTTACTTGAAAATATCTTTACTAGCATTAGAATTTTCATTTTTAAAGTTGATTGTTTGACCCATATGGCTAACATGAATATTTTCAACAATTAGAAGTTTTAATATTGTTCTTATTTATTTGTACAAGGGTAATTTATGCTGGAATGAAGTTTAGGTGATGGATAAAGAATGGATGCACATCGCTAACAGGTTCTTAGATGTAATAGATTGTATTTATAAGAGTTAATATTTTTTACATTAATTATATATTTAATTAAAAGTTAAATCTTAAATTTTATAGAGGTGATCAATAAGCACCTTATTTTTTTTTTTTTTTTTTTTAGAAAGTAGTCATTATTATATGATTTTATTTTATTTTTAGATTTGTTGGCATTAAATTTTTATTTTTCTTTTCCTCACAGGATTAATTTTCACAAGATCATTAGGAGCATGCTCAAAGGTAATATATTTAACTCATAGGTTCCATTTTTTCATTGTTGTCTTTTTTTTCTCTTTATAAATTGTCAATTATATATTGGGATAAATTATACATTTCTACCTCCATGTTAGACTCATGTTAAGGGGGTCACGTGCCTTAAAGTGACCAATTTTGCGGTGTATAGGGGGTCAGATGCCTAAAGTGACCATTTTTGTGGTGTATAGAGAACTTTTCAATCTTTTCAGGTGTGATGTCAAGGAGTACTCCAGGCTGTCAACATCAGTACAAATATCCATTAGAACAAACTAGAAAAATAAAAAATTGTGTCTGACAATGTTAAGAGTTTGAACTAAGTCCTTTAGAATTGTGTCCCTTTTTCATGTGTTTAATTAAGAGTCAACACAAGATTTCTTAATTAACTGCAACATAAGCTAATTAAGTTAGACAATGCAATCAAATTAATCTTTGTGAGTTTAAGATTGAAGTCTGACAATGTTAGAGTTTGAACTTTGGTGCAAAATTTTTTGGGTCATAGATTTATCATATGTTATAATTTTTTTTTTTCTAAAACCCGTGTGATAAGATTAAACATTTCAGTGTAAAATATCATAGGAATATCTGAAATTTGGAGATTATAGCTTATATCCTTTATGTGGTAAGTTGGTGACATGAAATGGGATACCACTACATAATACTTTCTATAAGCATCCAAAAAAATCATTATTTTTGCCAAAAACATAACTGTCCACACATAGAAAGCAAGATAGATTTAAGTTTTCTACTAAACCAATTCAAGTACACATCTAGATGCTGCATATAATGTACTGAACTAAGTGGCCCATAATAGAGTATAAAGATGCAAATGATTTTTATCCATTCTTTCTTTCTTTTTATTTTATTTTTTTTTTTTTTCCTAACAAAAATAAAAAATTGAATCAATAGTTTGGACAAAACTATGGCCATGCAGGAGAGTTTCTGCTTCTGCACGAAGATTGCATTTTGATCCCTAGAGGGGGTCTGTTCAATTCCACATGACACCACCATGGCCATAATTGTTGTCTCAAAAGGGCTTGGCCTTGATATAGATGAGGTATATGGTATTGTTTACTGATTTCTTGCTGAAACAATATGGTATTTAAGTTTTTAATCTTTTTGGTATAATTAGGGAATGGTGTCTTATGTTTCTCTTTAGTGGAGTTGGGACAAATTTAGGTGTTATCAAATCCACAATAAACTTCTTAAAAGTTTTAAAAAATGTGGCAAATTAGTTTTAAAAAATCATCAACAAATGGCCTGAATAGATAAAAATATTTTTATCGGTTGGTCATTGGATTTGCTAGCTTGAAGAAAAAATTTATTGAACCTTGACTGTACTGTAGTATTGTGGCATTTAATTCGATGGATAGAATTTTCATTGATTGAGCTTTTATTGGTCCACATGATTGATATTAATTACATTTCACCATGGTTAAAGGAAGCAGAAGGGGTGTGTACATATTTAATCACTTATAGATACTTGTATAGATTTTATGTTCACACCACCATTGAAAAACTTTTACTTATTTCTGGAAGGTGTGTAAATCTATTATGTATAGCGCACATATTTCTCGTAAACCATAGGTAATTTTGATCGACAAGGGTGAGTCTGCAAGGACATTTATGGTAATCATCTAATTTATTAGCTCCCTTTGAACTAGAGCCAATCACACATTTACATAATTCCTTGAATTTTAACATAGATTTAATAATTCATATTTGTAAATTATTTCTGGTAAGTTACCTCTTTACTGTGTAATTGTTTCGCCATTCATCAACTTGCTGCTTGCCCTTTTATATTGTCATCAAATATTTATCCACAATATAGACATGTCACATGGATAAGACTACAGTACTACACATGGTTTTCTTTATGTTGGATTCACATGAAAGTGTACTTGCATCTCTCTGTTCAAATTATGATGCATTGCCTATTGTGCCACTGCAAACTTTTCAGGGCAGAATTGTTCTCGGAATCTTAACGAAATCATACACCATTCAAACACGAATCTCTTGACTTTGAAGAAGATACGGATCAAGTATGTTCTATTCTGTTCTTCCACCACTTGCACTACTTATTATATAGATGCTCATATCTCCCTGACATGGCATTTGTTTGTACCGTCTAGACATTTTTTTCCCACCTTGCCAACTGCCTTACCTGCTTATACTTTGAATATTACAGACATGCAATTTTCATTTTCTATTATGGCTTTTCATGATAACTATGTCCAATCAATTGTCTCATCTGATGTGTTCTTAACCAAATTTTCTCATCAAATAAGAATTTAGAGTGTCAATATTTTCCGTTTTGTATTCAGGCTGTATCCTTGCTTTTATATAGTAAATGGTGTACTTACTAATGGCAAAAAAATAATTAATTAACACTCATATAAACAAATCGAAGCCGTCAATGGGACACCAGAAATCTCAGGGATCACCCACTGGAGAAAATACAGGCAACTAAAGTATTGCCACTTCACATATGAATACCTCTCTCTCTTTCTCTATATACCTAAGTAATTCACATGGGGAAAAACAAATGATAAATCCATGTTACATGCTTTCATATTTTTGTTTAATTTGTATCGTCTCTTGACTCTCTTGAACATCCATGGTATTTCAGCGATTGTATTGTAGTATTAATCATACTCTTTTTCTAATTTCACCTCATTCATCTTCTTTTTTTCTTTTTCTTTTTTTCTTTTTTTTTTTTTGTGTGATGCAGGTAATTGCTTGAATTTTATACCATGAACAATAAGGTGGAGGAAGTGTCTGAAAAATTGAAAGTCAACTTGTGCCAATGATTAAAGAACAATGTGAAGCTTGACTTATTGATGTGTTTTTCACAGACAATGGATTTTCTTTTGCAATTTGGCACATTGAACCATGATGAATTGTCTTTTGATATGTTTAATGGTGTATGAATTGTGGTGTATGAATTGTTGAATTGTCTTTTAATATGTTTAATGGTATATTTGGTTATTGGTATAAAGTGGAAAGTGTTAGCTTTGTGAAGTATTGTTTATTTAAAATTGTGACCAATATATAGGTTATATGTGAATGATTGGGTAGTATTAATTGAATGTGTTTTATTAAATATAAATAAATAAATATGTTATTTACGGGGTCTTCACGATCCTTGAATAAAAGTCTTTACATTATTTACAAGGAGAGAATCTCCCCGTAGAAAAGTTTTTTTACGGTGTGCAGCATCTTTACATTATTTACAAGGAGAGAATCTCCCCGTAAAAAATTTTTTTACGGTTTGCAGCATTTACTAACGAGAGGCTAGTTACATTGTAAATTAATTATTAACGAGAGGCTAATTACACCATAAATTAATTATTAACGAGGTCAGTTACACTTCGTGAATTAGTTATTAACGAGATGCCTGGTGTCTCGTACTTTACTATTTTACGAGCTCTGCTAGTCCTCGTAAAAAGCTAAGAGCATTTACAAGGGCATAATAAACAAGGGAGGCATTTGCGTTTTCACAAGGTGTTTGGGCACTCGTAAAAGACCTTTTTCTTGTAGTACCCCCATATGAAATTCCTCATTCTCTTTTCAATAAGATTAATGACGTAGCTAGGAGAGTATATATATATATATGGTATGTTTATTATTATTATTATTAGTATTATTATGTTTATTAATAATAAAGGAAGGATTTGATTAATATATATATTATTATGTATGTATATATATAGATATGTTTATAGTCAGATTATATTATCAATATAACTACTATATAAGTTATTTTATTTTCGTTTTCTTTTTGGCAGACTTGTTATTTAACTAGGATTTGTATTTTATTATATAGTCTATATATATGAGTTAGTTCGTAGAAAGGACTTTACGTGGGTTTTATAGAGAGAGAAACAGAGAGATAGAAAATGGAGAGAATCGAGAGTCTAGAGAAAGAAAAAGGAGCCGACCAAGAAGGAAGGCCGAACCTAAGGAAAGAAGAAGGAGGGCTGCCGGCATCAATGGTTAGCCGGAGAAGTAAGGAGATGGGTTTTTAATTCAAAAACTCTTAAAGGCAAGTTCTATGTTCTACTCCTCTACTTTGATTTGGGGTTAAATACATGTCTAGGACTGCTTTAGGGTGATTATATAAGATTAATTAATTTGTTTGCATGCTTTAATGGGATTAAAACAAACTTTCATGCATGTTTAAAATCTGGTTTTATAATATGTATATATATATGTGATGGGTTTGTATAGTTTTTACTTAATTTAATGTTATGATGCATGACCTATAATTTAAGTGGATGTAAAGATGTTTATGTGCTTTAAAATTACTATGGGAACACTCTGGGACGTAGTTGTATAGTTTGACCTTCAACAATAGAGGTTGGAAGTAACAGAGCCGTCAGAGAAGAAGAAGATGGTCTGTCACGGAGGTTTAGTAGACCGGTTTGGTATTTCAATCAACAGAAGTGGTTCAGAGGAGTAGGTCAAGTTGGTGTTTCGGCCAACCGAACTGGGTATTTCGGTCGACCGAAATAGCTGTATCGGCCAACCAGTTTGGTACTTCAGTCGACCGGTTTAACACTGGGAATTGTGTATGGGATTTTAACACACTGTATGTGTTTATATATGTGGGATCTATCTTTATTAAATGTTCTAAATCTATTTAAAATATATTAAAATTTGTTAAGATAGGTTCATGGAGGATTGAGAAAGCATGATTAATATTAATATGCTAATGATAGGAACAACATGGATTTTAATTTGAAATATATGTTGTGATGAAGGATCTAATTGCTTAAATTTAATCTAGTAGTTTTAAATGATGTTTAAATGATTTTTCTTAAACATGTATTCTTAGTATAAAATGATAATGAAATTTACTGATTCTGATTATACTCTATTTTGGATTAAATTGATGTATTGTTATTATTAGTTGCATAAATTGTGGTTGTATGGGTTTATGTGGTGTGATATTATAACTGTAGCATCATTTATGGATTGTGTGATATAATGCACCAGTATGGGATGGTGGCATTCTAAGGATGGATTAACTTATCAGTTAAGTCCTACCTATTTTTATGTAAAGGGATAGATTAACCAAAAAAATGTTAAGTCCTACCTATATTTAAGTCAGGTCAACTGAACAAGTTGAATGACTTATAGAGTATTAATTATAGTTGGATAAGATGGATTTTATATATATAATTATATGCCATGATATGAACTTGAGTCTCAGGATCATGGTTAGGGTGCATATATTCCCTAGGATACATAGCTGGATATAGAGAATGTTGTGTACCTTGATAGATGACGGTGTTCATGACTACCTATATGTTTTGTGTGATACCTAGTATCAGGATCAACCTGCCCTATAGTCTAATGAGAGTCCTTTAGTGTGTATCTATATATGTACAGACTATGTAACTATTGCATGAGTTGACTAGGATGTGTTCGTTCCTTAGGTCTCTGTTAGATGCAGTAGAAATAACTTGTTTGTGGGCTTGACCCACTATTTATTTTTCAGATCTATGTAGATTTTGATCGTGCAGAGTAGAGACCAGTCATCATCATTCTTCCAAATCTTCTACATATGATATTACCTTATGTTTCAGTTTTTAGATGTAAACAATTATTACTGTTGATTATCATATTTTTTTGGGATATTCTAGGAGTCCACACAGTATGGATTTTCGGGTTGATTTTTGGAGGATTGGATGTGTCAGAAGATTTATTATTTAATGAAATATATTCTGAAGATTTTAAATTTTGGATTATCACTTTAGTTTCCTTTTCAGCATCTTATCTATTCTTATTTATTCTTTTGTATTTTGTGTTCGTTTATTGCCGATTCGTTCTGATATCTCCGAGTATTCGGGCATGAGCTTGGCTAACCTGCATTCGAAAATCTGGGGGTATCACATCATTTCATAACAACTTAACTGTTCCGTCCCGAAAAGGGAGCAACGTGATAGTTTTTATTAGCTCAAAGAGTTGTTTAATAATTGAGGGAGTTATATGTCTTTTTCAAAAACAATAGGGGGATGTTATAATTTTAGCCCTTAAAATTTTCCAACTAATATATATCCACGGATCACCTAATATGCATGGCTGGCATGTCTTCATCAATGCAAATTAAGGTTATTCTTTTGCATATTTTATTATCCTACTAGTTGGCTTGGTAGTTTTAATTATTTCCAAAAGAAAAGAAAATGATACTCTTTAGAAAAAAAATTTATTATACACATTACAAAGATCTTTGATGAGTACGTGCACCTAATATGTGAATTGAAAAAGAGATATATTGGATTAATGTGACTAAAAAATAATTAATTGAGAGGCTTCACAGCCCCTTCCCAACAAGGCTATTAAGCAAATCCACATTAACCAGAGATGGAATGAACTAGCATTGCATTGATGAAGACATGCCAGAACTAATTTGTAGGTGGAGACTTCAGCAATAAATCAGATAGGATAGAAAGTCCAAGAGGGAGATTGAAGCTCAAAATGAGAAAATTCAGCAATATATATATATATATATATAGGGAGAGAGAGAGAGAGAGAGAGAGAGAGAGAGCAGCTTCATATATATGTTTGACATCCTTTTTGGAATATACCATAGGGGAGGTTTAACTAGATATAGCAAGGCTAGAAGAGCTACAAGATATTCTGAATTTCAAGGCAAGACTGTTGTTTCGGTTTTATTCATCAGTGCATATATATTGCATGGTTCGGTTTCAAAATGTATGCCAAACTTTTTTACTTCTGTTTTTCCTCAAATTGATGACCATATATGAGAGTCCTTGGGCTATTTGAATGCCTAAACATTTTGAAATGCATTTCAAGAGATTCGTAACTGACACAAGATGCAATCGAAGTAAAATAACGCTGCTAAAACTGGGAAACAAAGATACAAGATAGTAACAAAAATTGCATATATTTGATGTAAAAAGCCAATATTACATTTTTAAAAAATTGCAATTGAACTTGAAACATAGAGAGTAAGCCTAATTGTGACAGCAACATATATTTTACCCTAGCTACTTGAATGCCGTTAGATAATTAACGTAAGGACAAATTTCTTTGGGAGACTCACATAGGAAATACATCAAAAAGAGATGGCTCGAATCATGGAGACTCTGTTGTTATTAGTGGTTGCATCAATAAGTTGACGGCATCTGTATTGTCGAGCTCATTATGAAGAACTCATGTGAACGCATCTTGCAAGAGCTGGTGATAATCAATTGACCAAGAGGCATTAGGGTTGATGCGATATGTGTTGCCGAAGAATGTGCTATCCATATCCTGCTGATAACTTTGGTGCTGTCTCAACTCTTCAAAGCCAAGATAGTGAGGAACTTCTGTACTGGTTTGGGGAGGCTGATCATAATCACCATTGTCCATTCTAGGGGGCTCAGTCTCAGAGAGATTGTGCATGGAAGTTCCTTCAGATGTCAAAAATTGGTCATTTACTCCATCAAATCTAAGAGAATATTGAGGAACTTCTATGATTTGGGGAGGCTGATCACAACAACCAGTGTTCATTCCAGTGAGCTCAGTCTCGGAGAGATTGTGCATGGAAGTTCCGTCATATCTCATTACTTGTTCAAAATTATTGTTGTCATTGACTCCATCAAAACTAAGAGAATATTGAGGAACTTTGGTGGTTTGGGGAGGCTGATCATAACCACTAGTGTTCATTCCAATGAGCTGAGTCTCGGAGAGATTGTACATGAAAGTTCCTTCAGATGTCGAAAATTCTTCAATATTATTGTTGCCATTTACTCCATCAAAGCAAAGAGAATATTGAGGAACTTCTGTGGTATGGGGAGGCTGATCATAACCACCAGGACTGTCCATTCCAATGGGCTCGGTCTCAGCACTGTGTGCATGGAAGCTCCTTCATTATCATCAATGATCACTAGCTGTCGAGTTTTGTTCTCTCTCTTATATATCTTGCATAAAACATAATCACCAAGCTGCAAGAAATTAAGAAATGTAAGTGTCAGTAGCAATATATATGTTTAATTAGTAAGTAATCAATATATATGAAGCTTAATATATATTGAGATATATAGTTATGTATATGTACCCTCGCTTCATTTTGATTCCTTTGACTATTGGAAGGACTTTCCACTGTAAATTATTGCATAAGCCAGGATGTTTTGTTTCCGTTTTGAGGTTTCCCTTCGTAGAATACCAATGGCCTTTTACATCCAATTTTGCGGCCATTAAACTTGACACCCTTATCAGCAGCTGTGGCCTTCCAAAATCCATTCCCTGCAGTTCTATTTGGTCTTGTTCCATTTGCATACTTTCTTTCTCTTAGTGTGAAAAAGTACCATTCTTTTTCTCCTTGAGCTTGGTATTTCACTGTTAATCCCAAAAAAATAATAATAATAATTTTCAATACTGTTTAAGTATTAATTTTAAGATGCATACATATATGCATGTTAAACTCTTATGTATATATGAGAACAGAATTCATTTGAAAAATAAGATAACAAATTAAAGCCTATATCACCGGATCACTCGACAAGAAGTTGAAGGAGACATTTATAGCAGTTATAATGGTTTTGGGGTTTTATAGTGGTTTTAAGGTTTTTTAAGGGAATTCCTAAAACCACTATAAACCCCCTAAAACCACTATAAAACCATAAAACTCTAAAAATATATAAATCTTAAAAACTCTCAAACCACTTTAAAACCCTACAAACCCTAGAACTCTACAATTAAAAAACCAATTAAATGATAATTGGCTTTTTTACCGTGTTGATAATACTCATGTCAACTAATGAAGTGAATTACCACCGTGTTAACACAATTGCTTAAATTTCTGGAAACTCTCAAACCCTACAAACCCTAGAACTCTCATACCCTACGATCCCTAGAACTCTCCAATCCTACAAACCAATTAAATGTTAATTTGATTTTTACCGTGTCTTAACACAATTGCTTAAATTTCTGGAAAAAATATATATATAAAAAAAAAAAAAAAAAATAGGGTTAAAACCCTAGCGAACAAATAATAAAACTAAAAAGATAAAAATATGAATAAAACAAAAAAGAAAAATATTGCATACCGCCATCAAAAGTTATTATCATAATGAAAATATATATGAGCAAACATAGATACATGTTTGTAGATTTATCAAAAGCAAAAAAAAAGCTAAACATATAATGGATCATAACTGGCTAAATATAAGTAGAGTAATTGAAACAAGTAATAGATATATAAACCTGTAAGTTGATCGGGATTATATTTATATATATTAACTTCGTGGATCCTGTTTTTTGGCAAGATTGGATTCTTCACTTTTCTTTTCAAGTAACATTCGATGAGTTCTTGGTCGTTGGGCTTAAATCGATAACCAGGTGGAAAAGAATCTAAATCAACCTGTTGTTGTTGTTGGCTTTTTGGTCCGTTAAATGGTGTCGGAGATGTAAGAGGATGTTGCAGTTGACTTGTTGGACTGTGACTTTGTCTCATCCCTTGGTTCTCCATTGACGTAGGACTCGGAGAAAGAGATGATGATTCCCACAAACACGGAGAGGGGCGAGAGAAAGAGAGAGAAAATTAATATTGTAAAAATTCTTCGAGTCAAAAGTAGTAGTGATATTAGTTTATAACTTTGTTGCATGAGATATATATATATATATATATATATATATATATATATATATTTGAATGATTATCTGATAATACTTATCTAATTACGCGGTGTTAAAGATACATATGATTTGTTGCACTTGGTTTACAATTTGGAAATTAATTTCATTTTTCTCTTTATTTCTTTCATACTCCAATTTATCTTAGGTTTTTATTTTTTATTTTAACCCAAGTTCTCTTAGGTTAAATTCTCTCTCTGGTAAATTAATTATATAGAAAAGGAAGACGAAGCATCCACACAGGGAAGGGAATCATTACATTGTGCATGAGCACTCTAATATTTTGATAAATATTGATATCACTTGTATGTTATTTATTTATTTTGCTTTAAATAACTTGTCGTAATTATGTGGTGGACCTCATTATAATTTTTCTAAAACAAAAGGTAGGCTCATTTTTTTGTTATATATATAATAAATATAACCCAAACCCTCCTCTCTAGGAGGTAACACTTTATGTAGACATTTCATTTTGTCCCTACCTTATAATTCGTATGATTATTTTTGTATTTTTTGTTTAAATAAATAGTAAAATTGTAATTCCATATCCTAATAACCTTTCTAAAATCGTTACTGAAAAATTAATAAGATTTTAACAAGCCTATTGCAGACATTGATCATCAGCAGTTACCAAAAATGGAAGGAAATGGAAGCCTATTTCACACATTTCTTTACTTCATTATCCATATGTGGAGTTTGTGGTAGATAATGAGATGTAAGACCGCTGACGTGGCTATATATCCGCTCCCTATACACATCAGCCGCTTCTCATTCTACTTGCATCCATATTGTCTATTCAAGCTTGCACTAAGATGCCCTTAAGAGAGCTTGAAATTGAATTACTTTTGATGACACAAAATTGAACTAACTTACAGAGAAAATATATAAAAAGTGAAAGAAAAACACATACACACAATTGTTAATGCAAAATCCTACCTGTTAATATATCATGCCCAACAAAGATAGTTGGGGCATTAGTCAACCCAAATGACATGACACGAAACGCGTAAGATACATATCTAGTGATGAATGTTGTTTTAGGAATATTTTGCTCTTTGACCCGGAACGTAAATCAATGTTCGAAAAGTAAATAGCTAGCTCTTCTCAACTGATCAAATAGGTCATCGATCATAAGCAAAGGATATTTGTCACAAATAGTAACCTTGTTTGATTTCCTGAAATACATACACTGACGAAAAGACCCATCCTTCTTAACAAACAACACCAGTGCTCCCCACGGTGAAGCAAAAAGTACTATAAAAGCTAAATCCATAATGCAAAACAATACCTTTCATGTGTACAATTCTCACCCATCAATTTCAATTAAAATTAAATAAAAAATTAAAAATTATAGCATAACCATAAGATCAGCTACACTTGATGCTACAAAATGAACCACCCCTTCCATCATTGACTGACTTCTTCAGCCTACCCAAAATAGAATATGAGCAAATGACCATAAACATATTACCAGCATTTAGCCCCTGAGAAAGAAAAGGTTACACAATTCTAGACAAATTACCAGCAATCATTTTTGGTAATATACCTGAAGCTGAAAGAGCCAAGGTTTTCAATTAAAAGCCTAAAACACAATAAACCGAAGTAACCGGCAATCTAACCAAACGGAAAGAAGGAAATAAAAGAACAACAAAAACAATTAAAACACAGATGACATTCTAATCCAAACAAGGGAAAAGTTACACAATTCTAGACAGATTTCCAAATTATAAGGGAAATCAATGTGTTCTTGAAGTGTTGCTGTTAGCGGATGGTATAGAAGCATATTGTACAAACATCGAGAAAAACCAAGACGAAAAACCACCCGCTTCTCAGCATCGTCTAGCAATACCACTGTGCAATTTCCTTTTTCCTTGTTTCCCTAAACTCCTACCTGTCTGTCTCAACAATACTATGTCAATATCTACTACTCCACAATCATATAAGAAACTAAGGACCTACCAACCTGTATGATTTATAAGCTACCACAAAAGCTAGCTAATTGCAGTGAGTTTATCTATCCTTCTTCATCATAGTCTTCTTCCTCCTCATCTATACTTCTATTCAAATTGGCAAGTTGAATGGGGTCTATAGCCATTTTTTCCATGTCAGCAAGCGACCAGCCAGGGTATTCCTCGTGTTTCAATTCAGGAGGAGCACACTTTGGCGATGGCCGAGCAGGGGTGGAGGCTACCATGGTTGTTGAATCCCCATTCTCATCCAAGCCCACGTTGAGGTCAAAGTTGCGTACTGGTACTTCTGACGTCTTACCAGCCACAATATTTGCCTTTGAATCTTCAGGATCTGTCCCATTGTCTAGCCTTTCATGGTTTTGCTCTTGCTTCTCATTGTGCAGAGAAATGTCTGGATCATCTTCGAACTTCTCACTATGAGTAGTTGTTTCTCTCTCTACTGTTCGACTACCTCGTCCACGACCCCTACCCCTACCCCTTCCCCTTCCTCTGCCAGTGCTACTTGTGTGTCCAGTTTCATGCTGCAATTAGGAGGGGAGAGAAAAACATTATTCAAAAAAATAGTATCATCTCTAATTTAATTAAAGAAAATTAACATTACAAATCTACTCAAACCATTTTCCTCTTTTAGAATTCATACACATATATATTGGTTCTATCTAATGAGATGTTAAAAGAAAATTTACATCTAAAGCATAATGCAAGAAACAATAAATAAATTTAGGAATCAGTTCTCATGCAACACTGCTTTACCTAAATAGCATTCTAAGAAACCAATAAACCCGTCTCTTGTTAACCGATACCAGGATAGGACCTACAGAAAAGGATAAGGGAGTTGGTGTTTTCCCCAACAATATAAGAAGGAATTCCCATTTTCCCTCCACTCACATAATAAAGGTATTCTTTCTCTTCTTCTCTCCACTGCCTTTAAGAAGGGATCACCGCTATCCTTTCCTTTCTTTTTCATCCTCACTTATTCAAACATGATAATTGATGACAAATTAATATGACATTTGTTTTCCTTACTTTTCTCTACTATACAAAGCTACCATTTCCTTTCGTTTCCCTTCCCTCCTACTTACCAAACGCACAGTTAGAATGACTTCCTTTCCCTGTTACTTATCCAAAGGACTATATTAGGGATGACTGACAAATTATGCATGTGTTTAATATTATTGTCTTCAAAAAAATGATATTTCAAAAGCACATAGCCTACTGCCACCTTAATATATATATATATATATATATATATATATATATATATATATATATATATAAATGCATATAATGGAGTAAAAAAATAACCCCACAACTGAAGATTTCTCTTGGGTTCTGTGTATTAACATTTAGGTCTGTGACAAGTTTGCATGGAGAAGCTAAGGTAAACAAGTGTCATTTCAAAAATTGCTTAACAAGACAGGACATACATTTACCATCCTGACTTTCTTTATATCGTCATCACTGTCATTGTCTTCACCATCAGCAACTTTCCTGGTTACAACAATATATATAAGCAACATTGTTAGACACCATGTATCTCACATTTCTTTCAATGCCAACACTAAAATAGGAATTTAAAATTTCACAAACCTTCTTTTGGCAACAGATCTATCCTCACCGACAGCATCACTGCCACCTAAATCAGGAACCTTGCTGACAATCTCCCGCAAGAAATCAAACACATTAAAGCTCTGTACACACTGTTTTCTGTAAGTTTGAGGATCGAATTAGATTAACAAATTAATTAATTATTAGTAGAACACAAAATCACATAATAAATTTTCAAGCATGGGCAGAATCTAACTTCCTTTTTTGCCTCTAAGAAATGCATCTCTTAGACCTGAGATAAAGGAAAGTGGGGAGAAGGGAGGGACATTCAGAGACTGTTTAGTTTAACATTCTGATAATAGTTTTCTATTTTCGATAATAGAATCTAACTTCCTTTTCTTTCTTTTTTCTTTTATTTATTTATTTGATCAGGTAACTCACACGCACATTGCTTAAGGCCTGCTTGGTTTAGTTTTTTTGCAATAGATAACACAGTTCAAAATATCATTTGGCTGACATTTTTCTAAAAACTGTTCTCTGAAAAAAGAGTTGAAAAATGATCCGCTTTTAGTTCTCAGAAAAAATGTTGTCTATTTTCAAGGTCCTTTTTACTGTTTTCAGAAAACAACTAAACCAAACAAGCTCTTCCTTTTCTTCTTCCAACAAATTCATCTCTTGCATCATAAAGGGAGGGAGGAAGATTCAGGGCCTGCTTGGTTCAGATGTATGGAATGGATAACACAGTTCAAATTATCATTTCGCTGGCATTTTTCTAAAGACTGTTCTCTGACAAAAGAGTTGAAAAATGATCTGATTTTACTTCTCTGAAAAAATGTTTCTGGTTGCAGTCTCCTTAAAACTGATTTCAGAAAACAACTAAACCAAACAGGCTCTCAAGTCTCAACATTGCCTGAACTAATTCTTGCAGTTACTCTGTTAAATGGTAGCAGATCATGATACTTTGTCAGAATAGTGGTAGATCACATTAATGCATCAATCATATATCCCAAACGAAACAATGACAGCATTAGTGAAAATATGAGATGTATATACAGGACCAGGAGTAGCCACCAAAGAACCATTAACGTAAGCATATTCTCACTACCCAACAACCTCCACAATTTATATCTAAAAATATAACTTTCAGGTGGAAAAATTTACTTACAAATGAAAAGAGTTCATTGTCTTTGCACCCCTCCGAAGAGTGATCTCATATGTACGGTCACATAGATCTTGCAGAAACAGTTCCAAAGCTTTAGCTGCATATACATATTCAACAACAGCATCAAATATTATAAACAGAGAACTATAATATTATCTGAACAGAAAAAACAATGAAATAAGGCGGCAAAAATCTCGAAGAAAAAATTTGTCTGAATTACTAAAAAACTGAAAATAGAATAAAGTCTGATGACATAATCTTTCAAACTACATACAAACTAGAAGAGGTACAGCCATAGCAATCTTCCCCACATCCTCGTCAGCTTGCATTATCTTCTTAATTCGAGCCTACAAAACAAATATTACAATCAGATATCACTGCTAAAAGATTATTTTAATCATCACACAGAATAAAAGTGAAAAGCATTATTTAGAATATGATAAATGAGATCAGTCATCTGGTAATTTCTCAACTGAAGAAGCAGCTTCAAAAAGAGGTTTTAATCCAGAGGTGAATGACAGTGTCTCCACACACATGCCAAATATAATAATGATAATAATAAGAAGATGAAGTACAACACATAACAGCAGTAACTGCAAAGCCGTCCGAGAAGGCGTTTTATATGAACAAGTTAAAAATTATCTTCAAAACTTCTCACATCTTAAGCACTTATGGTCGTAATCATGTCAACCCGAATTGACACGTTAAATAATCATGTCATTTTAGTTTTCTAATTGTCAACTTGTTTAATTAGATGTGTCAGGTGAACACAAATATGACCTGATCCATTTACTAGCGCCATTTAAACCCCTATAAAATGTAAATTGTTAGCATTGAAATGAGCATTTTTTTAAAAAAACTCAAAGAAAAAGGAAAAGCCTAAAAAAAATTTGAATCATTGAGACCACCCAATTTTATTGATTCAGAACACAATAAATAGCCAAGAGGAAACATTGTGTTGCTACAAGCAAAACCACTGTCTCCTTGATGATCTTCCTCTCCAGCAAAGACCATACAGTAGCCAATCATATAGATTTATACAGGTGCCGCTGATTTGATTTATGCTTCAAACCAACCTCTGCTACCTGCCTCTTATCTACCAACTCTTTTTATCTCTATATATAAAATTCCTAAATATATAAATATATATAGGGTAAAATCTAAACAACAATAAGGGGGTTCAGATTTCACAAACAGTTCATATATATTGCTGATCACCAAAGAGAGATCTAGAGAGATTTTAAGAGAGAAAAAGAGAAGCTGATTGGCTGGGATACAAAGATTTTCAAAATCATTCTGGAGGCAATGCTCGTCGAGTCTTGTGCAGGATGATAAGCTTCTGTCAGTGAATTGAATCAAATCAACCATCAAAAAAGAAGAAGATGCCAGGGGCCCTATTTGGTCCTTGATTGTTTATTCGGGCTGCGTTCCACGTTTGAGCGCTATTTATACAACCTTACTTATTAAAAAATATAAAAAGACAATGATGGCAAACAACAAAAACAGGGAAAAAGAGGTCAAGCCTTTGATAACCATCAGATTTATCAACACAATAAATCAAAGCCGATCCAACGGTGGGGAACCTAGCCATAAAAGGCGATGTAGCTTTGGGTTTCAAGAATTTTAAATATTATTTAATTTTGCTTTTTTTATTATAATAATAATAATTTTTTTTTTTTTTTTTTTTTTTTTTTTGCCTTGCAAAAATTTAAGCAGGTTATGTTGTAAAAGATTAGTGTCCTACACAAACAATTCACATTTAATCCTTACTATTTGTATATCATTTTTTTATGTGGATATTAAATTAAGCACGTCATAAATGGTTATGTGGGTATTAAATTAAGCAAGTCAAAAAAGGGTTATGTAGTTAACTGGTTATTAAATTAAATAGGCCCTAAATGGGTAGAAATGACCCTAATAGAATAGAAATTTAATCTAGTCATGCCATGCCGTGATGTTTCAGATCTTTCCCTACTTATTAAACAGGTTATGCAAGTTGTATCATGTTACTTGTTAATAATCGTGCCATGTTCATGTCAACTTATTTAGCAAAATACCCATGTCATGACGCAACACAAGCACAGCATGGTAACATGAATTGCCAACCCCTATTCTTACTTAGATAGCAGATCATAGTATCTCAAGGAATTAAAGGGGGTGAAATGGCCATTCTTTTACAAGTGAAAAGACAAACACCAAGGGGATAAAGAGAAAACAAGCGGAACAAGAGCAGAGGTGGAACAAATAAGAAAACCAACAAAAGGAAGCATATAAGAAAAGAAAAAAATAAGCAAAGAGGCTTAAGCAGGTGTAGAAGAATCCAAGTACCATTTAAAAAGAAGACACAATTTGTGACAAAGAATTAGCCTCTAAAAGAGGATATAGGTTAATTAAAAAGGTAAAACTGGATAAATTTAATAACATCAAATAAAAAGAGACCAACCAATGGCGTCATTTAGGTGATTTTAGACAAAACACACTAGTTGATGTTATTAATATCTCATAATGGAGCTAAAGCATCAATGAACAGGGCGCCCGAATGGCCTGTGTTTCAAAAAGAATAAACAAATCATAATAGGCAGAAGAGTGATTCTTGCTCTCTTTCATATTGCTTGCAAACCTCCAAAATCATTTTACCAACAATCATTCCCGTAGGCAAAAAAACAATTGATAGGCTCCTTCAACATTTAAAACCAGTGCATGTGCAGGACTTGGAAGATAATAACTTAAATATTTCCCTTTTTAGCATTATTCAAGAAACTGGAAATTCTGGAAAAAGCTTAGATGTTTAAAAAAGAATAAACAAATAATAATAGGCAGAAGAGTGATTCTTGTCTCTCTTTCCAATTGCTTGCAAACCTCCAAAATCATTTTACCAACAACCATTCATGTAGGCAAAAAAACAATTGATAGTCTCCTTCAACATTAAAACCAATGCATGAGCTGGACTTGGAAGATAATAACTTAAAATTTTCCTTTTTTAGCATTATTCAAGAAACTAAAAATTCTGGAAAAAGCTTAGATGTTTGTAAGCCACAAAGCCTAGAATGGTTCTTTCTTTTTGGGTGTTTGTGTGTGCTTTCTTTTGGTAGGAGGGAAGGAAGGGGGAGGGATGGAAGAGAAGCAATGGAGAAAGCTTCAACTGAATGGGGAAAGAAAGAGGAGGAAGGAATGAAGGGAGTGAAGCATCCCTTTGGGCCCAACATTTTTTTTTTCAAAAGTGGAAGGAATAGAGAAAAAGAATGAATATTTGTTACAAAAAAAAAAAAAAAAATTCACTGGCCCCACTCTCTGACTAATCAAGTTGATGTCATGCTTGTTCAAGCTCAACTCATTTACAAAACAACTTTCAACCTTGAACTGAATTTGTTTATCAAAACGAACAAGCCACTAGACAAGTTAAGCCCAATCTGTTCATTAACAACTTGGTTCATTTGTAGCTCTACTCACAACACGGTCACTTCTAATTATTCGTGACCATGCCAAAATACTGCCAAAATAGCTGACATCTCAGAGGCGTCCATAATCTAAAACAACTTGGTTCATTTGCAGCTCTCCTCACGACACGGTCACTTCTAGAGTTATTCGTGACCATGCCAAACGCTTGCTAATTAAACACTTCCACAATACTGCCAAAATAGCTGACATCTAAAAATGACGTTCATAATTTCAAACACTTGGAACAAACTTCTTAGGCTATCCCCGACATATAACTCATTCCAATGTTTTTTTCTAAAATGATGCATATGATATTATTTAATATTGGAGAAATATTGGTCATGCAAGTGATTGGTGTTTACATTTCTAATTCATGATTGAGTTTGTGATACATGTTTAACTTTAAAGTACAGACTTTCATTTAGCTAAAAAAGAAAAATGAAAGAAAGAATATTTATCATTTATACTATATATCGTTGTTAAAAATGTCAAAGCCAAATGTTACAATTGGAATAGCATAATTGAAATTTTGAATGGACACATACACAAACATATTAAATTGTTTTCTTTGTATGTTCATACCAGAAGTTAAATATGCATTAAACAATTAAACAATCATTTGTCGTGTACTATGAGCCAAGTTTGTACAAGGCTTACCAAATTCGAATAATTATGATCTAAGCCTGAGCACAAATTAGACACTAGCAAACCAAGCTCGAGTGTCCAAGTACTTCTCTTAGCGAATTGATCCTACTCGGTCAATGATTGACATCTATTGTTCTAGTTTTTATGTTTCTCGACAGAGATAAAAATCAAAGGGATCTAATGTGGTTTTCATTTGGTCACAGAAAATTTTACGAGAAACAAAAATACATGGGAAATGAAATTGTCCATTTTTTTTTATTTTTTTTTTTTTTTTTTAAATTCAAGCAAAAACACACACAAAATATTGGCCCTGGCTGGGCTCAAACACTTGACCTCCACTTTAAATGAAACTGTCTTGTAAGGCAAACGATTGTTCCAATCCTCTCTATGAATAACAATTCTAACTCAATCATAAAGTACAATTTATTGAAAAAAATATCCATCAACTCAGTAAACTACTTGTAAATAAAATTATATTACAATTTATAATGTTTTTGTTTTAACACTACTAATTCAGTCCCTCGAAGTGAAAATTCTTGGGGTCTGAACCTGAAAGCACCAAAATACAATCAAAGACTACTAAAAACATCAATCCAAAAGCCAAACAAACAACATTCATTTCTAACATCATAGCATTCACTGTGAAATTTTCCCCAAAAATTTTCCAGAAAAATCCTAAAAACTTCAATCAAGGACATCATCAATCACGAAATGAAAAACACCATACAAATTACATAAACAATAGAAAAGAAGAAGGTCAACCAACTGATCAAACAGTCTGTTATTCAAAATATAAGCGCGCACACACATATATACACACACATACACATAAATATGGAGAGAGAGAGATATAAGGTAAGATTAAATAACTTACAGCAGGAAAGCGAGTATCGAGCTTTTTCCTCATGGCGTCAGACTCTAATCATCAATCAAACCCTAGAAGAAAAATAGAACTGATATACACACACGTATATATATATCTACCCTCAAACTCTATGCTCTTATAGCCAGCAGATCCAAATATATACTGTATTACACACACATATATATCAAAAAGAACAAGATCGATTCTCGTCGAAATCGTCCTCCTTGCGCGTTCAAAACACCACGGAGGAAACAAAAGAAAAAGAAAAAAAAAAAAATTGCAGATTCGCTTCCTACTCCGAAAACCGCTTTTGTCGGACCCCCAAAAACAGCCAAAGCCCACGAAACAGTCAGGGAGAGAGAGAATAGAGAGTTGTATTTTCCTTTTCCTCCTCTAATTTTCAGCGGAAAACTCGTTTCCACTCAGATTTATTGACCTCCTTTCGGATTAGATTTACTCTCCATCACCGTACACGTGTGCAAGGAAGATGGAAAGGCGGTCCGGATGGACTCGTGAGGACCGTACGATTCTGATGCAAAGAGTTGCGGGCGTTGACCGGGTTAAGCTCTGCTATTTATCACCGCGAAGTGTGTTTGGTTTGAATGAAATGAGGTAGTTGATTTGAAAAAGTACTTTACTGAACAAAAAGTAATTTTGTACTTGGTTTTGAAGGAAAAATGCTAAAAACTTATACGTATGTGAAGGTACTTATTTATATATGTATATATATATACACACATATTACATATTATATAGCCTAAAGTGCATTAAATCCCTTGAATTATTGAAATATGTGTAAGAAATTTCCCTGAACTATAAAAGTTTCAAAAAAACCCCCTGAACTATTAGGGTATATGCAAAAAACCCCCCTGAACTATAAAAGTTACAAAAAAAACCCCCTAAACTATTGGGGTATGTGCAAGAAAACCCCCTGAACTATATTTTTTTTTGCAGTTTATCTCATTTGCGCGAATTGATTGACTGAAAGGGACGATGAAGTCGAGGAATTTGTTACTGGGATCGTTGGATCTCCTGTCATAGCTTCATCATAACCGTTACACCACCCGCCAGATCTGTCGGCCATATATATCGCACTTCTCTACACCATTGCGTCAGCCCATCGTCGTCACCACCTTGCTCGCCGTTCAGCTCACCTTGCTCGCCGATCCATTCCACCGTCCATTCCAAGCTCGCCCCGCCCATTCTGCCATCTCCATAGCCGAGCACATAGCCGTCCACAGTTCACCGTCGAGCCCCCTTGAGCTCGCTGCCGCTTCCACAGTTCACGGCCGAGTCAACCGAGCTTTCATCATAGCCGAGTCCTCCGCGCATAAGCCGTCATCATCCGAGACCGAGCCATCCCGCCGACCTCGGATTTCTTTGGTCTCTTCTTTCTCTCTCTCTAGCTCTCTGTTTTGGGTTGTGTTGGGTAAAAAACATCTTTTGGCGAAAAAAAAAAAAAAAAAATGTAAGAAGTGTATAAGTTAAAACGACGTAGTGTGCTATAAGGGTAAACTAGTCTTTCAAAATTTTCAGTGCTGGAAGCTGATGTCATGGGAGTAAATTGCAATAAAATCATAATTCAGGGGGGTAAATTGCAACAAAATCATAGTTTAGGGGGGGTTTTTTGAAAATGACCAATAGTTCAAGGGGGTAAATTTCAACAAAATCATAATTCAGGGAAGGTTTTTGTAGTTCAGGGGGGTTTATTACAAATAACCAATAGTTCAAGAGGGTTTAATGCACTTTACCCTATTATATATAGACATGTACAACAATTAAGTGGGAGAGAAAAAAATAGAAAAAAAAAAAAAAAAAAAAAAAAACCTATATCAATTGTGATGATAGAAATTGGACGTGAATTCGTATATAATGCATATATATATATATAGTTAAAATATAATTAGAAAAAAAAATACTTTTTTTGACAATCTAGAATGTTATTGATATAAGGGATAAAACTAAGGAGAATAAAAAGAAAGAAAAAAAAAATGTTAAAGGATAATTTTGTTTTAAAAATTTATATTTTTAATTTTTATAAAGGTGTAATCATAAAAATTGTGACCAACCCTCTTCTTAAAATTTTGTCAAATACGGCTCAAAATATCTTTTTAGTCCATAAAGCCAAAAACAGAATTTAAAAAGCCAATCCAAATGGGCCTAAGTCTTGCTTCTCACTAAGATTCCAAAATTAAAATACTTCTTCAATGATTTTTTGATTGAATTTTCACACATTTTTATTTTAAAAGAATTTATATCTTGAAATTTTAATTTTTATCTCATTTCATATATAAGTAGAATTAATATATATTTAAAAGTGCTTTAAATAGTGCATCCCTAATCAAAAGTGACACAATGCTAACAAATTAGAATGAGGGCATACTAATAAGAATCAATTAAAAAAAAATAGGTTCAATTTTGCGAGATATAATATAAAAATAATTCAAAAATATATATATTTTTTCTATTGAAAAAATCATTGGGTTAATAGTTTGTAGCACACTGTTTTGTAAAAAATTGGAATTTAAAGAAGATCCAGCTTCAAGCACTATTGTCTAAACTTTTTCAACACTTTGAAAAAAAAATGGTCTAAGAATTAGACTCAAACAGAACTAACATTTTTTTATAGTAATGTCAATATTTTAGGTCTACGACTTTTTTTATACCTTTTTTTTTTTTTTGGGTCCTTTTTTAATACTTTGTTAAAATAAGGGTTTTATGGAATCAAATTAGGAATAAACAATTTTCTAGAATTTTTTTTGACAACATTGGCATCTCCAAGGGAATGATGATAGAAGTACTTAATATAAATTTTATTTTTCATCTGTCGAACAACTTTTGGACTAAAGTATTGAGATTTAGTTGAGATCACGGTCCATGGCGTTATGTGATGGAATTCACCATCCTACTCATATAAATAATTCGTTATTAACTATTAAGTTATCTTCTCTCCTCTCTTTTTCTCTTTTGTCTTTTTCTTTTCTTTCAAGAGCAAAAGGATGGGCCTAAAAAGTTTTATGCAAGGTTTGGTTGGAATGGATTAAGGAATGATGGAATTCAATAAGTTTCTCTTGTTTGATTGGGAGGAGAGAGAGAGAGAGGAATCAAGGAGGAATGTAAGAAATGAGGAAAAGAAAGAAAAACTATCCCATAAATATGTTATATCAATTTTAACCTTTAATTATTTACAAATTACTTATTAAACCCTACTAAAACAAGTTTGCATAATGACAGTATATTGGTATATATAAAAACTCTTTTTTTTTTCTTTTCTTTTTTTCCTTCCAACCAAAAAAAAATAAAAATTTGCCACCTCATTCTTTCTTTCTACTCTTATTACTTCCATTCAACCAAATGAAACTAATTTCTTTCCTTAAAAATATCTCAGTAATCATTTCTCTTCTCATTTCCAACTATTTTTTTCAACATTTCAATCAAACGGAACAGTAGGCTTGTCCTTTCACTTATCTTGAGTATAGGCATACGCATTCAAAGAGTTGAAGTCACTGGTAATGCCCCCAAAACCTTTCACAATTATGCAGTAATTAGTGACGGATCTATGAAGGGTAAAAATTTATACTTTTTTATATTTATATTCATAAAATTTTAAAATTATTCTTACTAAAATTATGAAAAAGCCTTTTTATATAAATTTGTTTCCCCTTGTATAAATTCTAGATCCCTGACAGTAATATTTGAGGGCCACTAAAAATATGGAAAAAGGAGAGGGTAAAATATAATGAAAATTGTCATTCTTGATGACGATGATAATAATACTATTGGACCTGACAAAACCCAGCCTTGATCGTGTCCTATTCTTTTAAGACCATCATTACATTGACAAAGTAAAAAGGTGACTTATAGAAACAGAGGGATAAAAAGGGGTTATCCGTTCAAGGTCCACGTCAAAATCTAATCTCATGCGGATAATTATTACTGTAAATGTTTTTTTTTATATAAAAACATTTTACAAGTGTTACGTCAACATCTCAAGTGTCTCCAAATTTTAACAATACAATAATTATAAAAATACAATATTTATTAAGTAAAAAAATGACCTTTTTTCCGTTTTTTTGAACTTTTTTTTTGGCCAAAAAGCTTTTAAGGCGCTGTTAACGGCTCTTTGGTTCAATTGTGTTTGAAGGAAGAAAAAAAAACACACTAATTTTTGGAATTTTTTTTTTCAAATAGTCTTAAATTAATAATCTGATGAAACGGCATTTTTATGGCATATATATGCATTTTTAATCAGACACCAGAAAAACCCTGGCTGTGAGAGATGGAAAACGCACGGGGTGATAAGTTCCCACTGCATCTTTTTTCCCCAGCTGACCCTATTCCTTGCACAGAGCAGTCTTGTACAGTATTTTTACGGCCAGCACTCAAAACATGAAGAAAATTGGACATTTTCTGTTGACATTGTTGATAAATGAAAATTGCACATCCATTGAACAATACAATTAACTCGATTCCCATTTTCTTTTTGTAACAATAGGATGGACTCTACCCAATAGACATGGAATGATCAGCAGGAGAGCTACGACTACTTGTTGAAACAGGTTCTCTCATCTCTGCACTGCTGATTAATGCGACAGGTGATAAAGCTGGCTTCTGCATTAACAATGTAGTGCAGGGTCAGATCAAGTCATGGAGCAAAGTTACTCGAAACTGGAAAAATGAAAAACATACACAAGCACACGCATACATACGGACATATATATATATAATGTGTAAGGTTCAAGTGTCATTTATAAGAGAATTTGTCACAAGAACACTAAAAGAATTACAAGTTGGCTGGTCTAGGATGTCTTTTGTGGATCTCCAGGGTAACAATTCAGCAAACAGCTATTCATTACCCCCCGTTCTAAACACCATCATGTCTATGCCACAAATATACTACCTTCATTTTATCGAGGACCAAGCCCTTTGCTGCAGTGTGGTGGTGCACTGCAAAAAGAAATGGGCTTGCCATTGCAAAATTTACAGGAGCCAAAAAAACACATTTTCACAAGCAGATCATGAATAAACCTTGGTAACATCCTAGAAAATAGCAAATCCCAGAAATGCCACCTTTCACTTTGATGTGCTCACGGTGCATATTCACTCAACCTGAGACAAAAGAGAATTCATACAAAGAAAGGTTCTTTCATGCATTGCATAAAAGGCAGGCCTCCTATGGATTTCTCCAACTCAATGAATGAAGGGAGAAGTCTGAGGAAACCGGCTTTAAATATGAAGATTCAGACAAAAAGGAAGCAATTGATAGTTGATTTAACCAAATCAAGTCAATGCTAGTCAATTCCAACCTAATGAGTTTTGAGAATGAAAAATGTTAGAAACACAGCACCCAGTAGGGATTTATTAAAGCACAAACGGCCATATGTACGCATAAAGACTATTTTTACAACACCTATGTATACTGCAGGCATGGGAAACAGCAATAACATGGAAAACCAAGAACTGACAAGATTGGGTGAATTTTGTATTTGACAGGACATACCTCACCTCCACCACTAGAATAGATTGCTCCATGGGAGAAGAGAAAGGAACATTTGAACCAATGTTGCTTGACCATTCTCAGAGTTCCTTTACAGTGGCGTAGAGCAGTTGCAGCATCACTGCTTCCAACACCAAGCCCAGCCCGTAGGTACCTTTTTGTCAAAGATAAATCTGCCACAGATTTTAAAAAGTGAATAAACAGTTGTGTTCAATATACAATTCATCACAACTATATTACCAAATCCATAAAATCATCAAAATTGTTTTTAGGTTTTACCCAAAAGTAGTTGTCACTTCCAGTCTTTTTCCTGTAAAGTTTAAGTGCTTTGATTATCTGCAGAAGAGAGGTTGCTAAAAACATGAGCCTCACAAGATAAAGAAAATAAAACATACAAGAAATACAAAGGAACAATGGAGCTTGTGCCTTTACCATATTTCTGTCATCAAGGGGAACTCCAGGCACATTGGTTGACAAACGATCCTTAGATTTTGATGGCCAAAGAGAATTTAATTTTCTCTCTAAACTTATTAATTGGAAGTACAAAGCGGGTCATGACATTCTGTTTTGAATAATAGAAGAAATTAATATAATAAATAAATAATCATATTCAGAATTTTCAATAAATATTGCTCGTGTCTACTTCTTTAATAGTTCAAAATAAAAATTTAGAGCAGCAAGCTACCATTGAAAGAAGTTAAATGAAAGAGAGATTCCAAATCATGAAACCGATCTTCCCTCTTGTTGGTTATTCTCAGAAGACATTAATCTACACCACATAGAACATCAAAATGAACAGATACTAGAAAAACCCAAAAAAAAAGGTGTATCAATTTCAATACCCAAAAGCCAAAGACTGATTAGCTTACGTTGCAAGTTGAAAACAGAGTGACTCCAGATTCTTTTCCACTTCATCAGCTAACTTATTCAGCCTTTCATCTAGGTCATACACTATCTAATAGCCCCACCAACCAAAATATAAATAATAATAATAAAATAGAGAGAGAGAGAGTAGCCAAATTCTTTGATTCACTAACAATAATAACAGAAGTAATAGGATTACCACTACTTGTTTTCTGCCAGTTTGCGGATCAGAACTTCAGAAGCCATGGCTTTGACCAAAAGAACATGAAGCATGTGGCTTATATAAAGAACATACACTGTTTTTTTCTTGAAATTTTGTTTCAGTTTCGGCTATTGGAGGGAATGTAGAGGTGTTGACTCCGGAGGAAATGGGCAGAAGCCATGGCTGCTGGAGTGTGTGATGTTATTGTATACTGTTATGCATGGAAAAGGAATCAATTTGAAGGCAGGTGAAGGAGGAAGACCACAATCTCAAGCTCAACCAATGCGTGTTTCATGTGTATATTTATTATTATATTCTCGGTAGGTATGTGACTGTGTGTATACATATATATTATATATATATTTTGTTTGTAATAAGTGTGTATACTGTAGATATATTAATGCACTTCATTGAAGTGGTCACTTTTTTCTAAATTTGAGTTTCTAACACAAACATGTGGGTATGTAATTTGCATACTGAAGAAAATGAAACAAATAGATAATGATAAGATGACATCATGTGAGACTCTTACATGAATACTTTTATGTGAGAGAATTCTGACGGCCTGTGTGAAGTGATCAGGGTCCTCCACATCTGTACAAAATGGATCTAGACTCGTATGTTTAAAGGTCTACAAAGCAACTTTTTTTTTATTGCGAAGTGTCAAAACTGCTATGCTTTGTGCTATTGGAAAGATTGCCCAGCATTTGCTTCATCAGATTTTAGTTTTTACTCACATATCATTGCTTTTGCAAACAAAAAAAAAAAAAAAAGCAAGGCACATGCAATTACCTGTCATCCTTCTCCTTTCTCTGTTGCAATCTTCTTCACATACTTGTCAACTCTGTTATAGGCTGTGTCTAAATAACAACACCATATTTTATAACAATTGCATCAAATAAATTTGACTGCGTACCAACAACAACAATAATACTAATAATAAAGGTAATTGCAGAAAAACCTTATGACTTATCATAATCTTGCAAGTTAGGCCATAGCGTTAGTTTGCAGTCACTAAGGATGTGAAATTACAATTTACTCATTATTAAACTATGCTGTCTTAGTTAAGTTATACACTATAGTATGTCCTTCCAACAACATTGTATCACATGTCCAGGATTTTTATTTTTATTTTTTTTAAAAGGAAAGAAAAATATATATATAAATAAAAACTTGGTATGACTCCTAAGACCCACCCAGTTTCATCTTCTTCTTTTTCCTCTTCTACATGTAAAAGTCCTAGAATACTTATACAATCACACCCTTTTTTATTTAGGTAAGCATACACAAACACATTCTTATACATGCATATACATATTAATTAAGTACCGCTTACATCAACTTTATCCTCCCTATTTTTTCTGCCTGAATCAAATAATTTAAATGAGTTTTGATTGAACAGAATCTTGAATCACGTTAAATCATCGAGAAACTACCGGCAGTTGGGATCTAAAATTACTGACAACGCATGTCTTATTTGCAAAGGTAAATTATGGTTGTGCAATAATTGCTTTCCTGAAGGGTCCTTTTCCTCTTGATAGAGCTAATAAACATAATATTATATATATATATATATATATATATATATATATATATTTGAATTTATGGTCTTAGTAAAAAAAATTCTCCAGAAATCAATATAGAATCACACCATATTATTATATTTTTCCCAAATCAAAGGCTCTGGGCTTCATATCAGATTCGTGGATATCGATATGTAGAAAGCTTGGGGCTAGTGTTGGCGTTGGCTTGGGGTTATTCACATGTAAGGACAGAGCCAATAATAATAATAATAATAAGAGATAGAAAATTTTATGTGGAAAGAAAAATGTGTCGGTAATCAGTTTATACAAAAAAAAATAATAATAATAATAATAAATCAAGGAATGCCAAGGATTAAAAGATTCTCAAAGCCTATGAAACTGGGGAAGGGATTATGCTACCAGCTCTCCACTATTCTTTTTCCATCCTAATAAATTAGAAATTACCAATTTTTACAACTAAGAGCAACCGAAAGATAGAGTAGTCAATAATGAACACTGTCAATAAGTAAAAAAAGAGCAACCCACCTAAAAAAATTGGAAAAATACCAAGATCATCTAATATTTATGAATTAGAGAAACTGAAAATGAACACTATTCAAACCCTATCGATTTTTTACAAATGTAGAAGTTATCAGAACCAAAGACTAGATTTCCCCTTACATACTTAACAATGGCAACAAAGTTTGCTAGATGAAAGGTATTGTGATGAAAAGTTAATTTTTTAAAGTTTATATAGCAAGGTTAATCTCATGTGTCTAAGGACAAAACAGAACTTAAGACAATAAGTGCAAATATTGTGTAAGTACGTTCACATTGCCTGCATATTGTTCTTTGCTTTCTTAATTGATGCTCCCTCCTTAACTATATGTTCTTCTCCAACCTCTTCAGTAAGGGCATTACTATAACATTACATGCTTGGCCCATTAGGACTTCAATTTTTTCCTCCCAAGTAAAACGAGGCTTTCCACGTAAGTATCCAAATGAAACGGGGATCTATACCCACAGATTCCAGTAAATACCACTTTTTTGCTCTTGGGATCATATGAAACCAGCTCTCCATTACCCATTCCTACTAGAACTTCCCCCGTTTTCCTAAATCCTAAAACCTTGCTTATTCCTCGTAGACCAACAGTGAACAATTTGGTCCAAGAACTTACTACACCATATTCTTTCATCACCCATATGCAACAACTCTTACTTGTCATCCAAATTAACTCCTCCTCACCATAGTGGAACAGAGAGAGAGATTCCCCAAAACGTGCAACCGACAACTTCAGCTTATTCCCATTAGAAATGCTGCTCGGAAGCATTATCTCCTTGAAAACCTCACTACCCATATCAAATGACAAAATCAAATACCGATTCTCTTCAATTGCGATCCAATGTGAAGCCCCATTCACAAAAACATGTGACAAATGACATAGAATCATGTGATACAGAGGAGCAGCAGTACCAATGCTTCTCCACAGACCTGTGCTAAGCTCATAAACATCGACCTCGGACTCAAACGAATCGTGAAGATAAACAATCCTCACAACCTTGTAGTCATTAGCCCGAGAATCGAACCCAAACCCTAGAACGCACTCATGCGAGTCAGATGCAAAAGTAAGTGTGACGGACTTGTCAATTGCTGGATTCCACAGAATGATAAGGTCTGTATAACCATGTATATCATCGGACAAGCAAATTAATCCATTACATGAACCCACTACTCTGAGGTAAGAGATTGAGGAGTGACAAACAGTGCACTCAACAAATGTTTTGTCGTCGCAGTGTATTGAGTAGTGCTCTTTCTTGTCAATGTGGTAATTAAGGAGTAATAATGGAGTGTTGGTGTGTGAAATGGTGCGATTGATGTGTGCGGTGATGAAACTAGGGTTGTTGATTAGAGCGTACAATGATTTGCAGACGCACCTGATTTGCAGGAGAGTCTTGATGGGAAGTCTTGTGAAGATATCGATGAGGACATCTTCAGGTAGGTAGTCCGACATTGTTCAACCTCTGATTGTAAAACCCTAGAATTTGAGAGCTTTGATCAAATGTAATTTGGATTTTTGAAACGATAGTTAACTTTATTGATCTCTGGGAACGGCTTCACATACGGACCCACAAAGCCCAGAATACCGGGTTAGCGGCTCACCCATTCGGACTAGTTCTCAATCCGAAATCAAAACCGATTCCAACTATTTTTTTAAAAGTGAAACTAGAGCCAAATTATGAAATATCGATTTGGTTGGATTTTTAACCACAAGTTTTTTAAAAACTTTTTGTTTACCTTTTTTAAAAAAATAAATAAATAAATAAAAAGAGTATGCAATACCAAAAAATATTTAAAGATTGTATCACAAATGAAAAATACAATATTATACTTTTCTACCCACGTCACTCTCTCCTCTTTCTTAGGCAAGTTTTTCTCTTTTAATATTGTCTTTTCAAAAGTACAAAGATGTATCTCGTTCCTCTACCATAATACTCATCAGACATCAACATTGAAGCCTATCAAAATAATTTTTCTTTATACATCAAACAGACTAATTTTGTTTATATGTACAGAGGCAAACATTGAAGCCCATCAAAATAATCCTTTTCTACCATGCATCAAACAAACTAATTTTGTTTATAGGTGCCTTAATTTTTTTTAAATAATCATCCATAATCCTAAGCCTTTAACTATGCAAAAAATATACAAACATAAAATTTGGAGTTATAGTTTCAGAACACATAAGAATTATTTACATACCATTTTCTCCATGGTTAATTATACATGACTTCAATATATAAATATATACATATATATATATATATATATATATATATATATATACACGCACACACACATCACCATACACTGTGTTTAAGAAAAAATCTAGAACTAAACGGCTATAGTTGTTGCCGGCTACTTCTAAAGGAAATCTAAGAAAGTATATGCCATGTCTCATTAGTGATACAATCATGAAAAACACTTAAAAAAAAAAAAAAAACCCTGCTTGTCCCACAAAGATTTTAACTTTCACCTTCCACCTTGAAAAGTAGAAGAGATACACTCACAATCTTTGGTTGCCCGCCTAGATATGCTCTTAATCTAAAATCTGATTTTTTTTTTTAAAAAAAATTATCCCTTTCTTTCTTTCATTTTTTTTTTCTTCTTCCTTTTTCTGTGAATATTTGGAAATTTTCAAAACTGTTAGGCTTGGTGCTGGCTGTTGGAAAGGAGAAAATAGTATCCCAACCAATGTACAATCATATTAAAAAAATCATTAGACCATTTTTTCTGTTTTTTTTTGGGATTTGACCCTTCTTCTTTTTTTCTTTTTTCTTTTATTTTGTCATTGGGTTATAAAACCATTTCCATAATGAAAAATCCATGAACATTACAACCTGAATATTATCACAAATAGTAAAAAGCCCTGTACAAACCATTCCAAACCCATCCTAATAGAGCGTTGTATACCCAAGAACGGGGTTGGTTTTCCATCCCTATCATGGCACACGAATCATAATATCTCAAACTGTAACAAAATCTGGTAAGTTCCAGAAAAAGAAGATATGCAAAGGCTACAAACTCATCAACCAGCTCAAATACTTGGCCTACCTCTTGCGGTTCAAACACTCTTGATAATTTATTTATTTTTTATTTTTTAACAGGGACCAAACCCCCTCGCTGCAATTTTATGCCAGTTTGTGGATACCATCTGTGACGATCCGAACATGAGATGCTCTAATACCACCTGTGATGTTTCGAATTTTCATAAATCCGAACAGGCACGGACCCAGCTGGTGACCAAGGGGCATCTGCCCCCCTGGATTTTTAATATTTTCATTTTATATCCTAATTTTTTAAAATTTTATAAAAACGCCCCCCCCCCCTAAAATTACAATTCGCCCCCACTGGATTCTTTTTTTTTTTTTTTTTTAGCATTTTATACATCAGATTTTGATAATTTATGAAGATGCCCCTACTAGAATTATAATTTGCCCCACTGATTTTTTTTTTTTTTTTTTCATTTTATACTTTAAAATTTTTAAAATTTATGAAAAAAAACCCTATTAAAATTACAAAAATGAGCCCATCATATAATTTTGTACCCACAAATTAAAAAGCCGCCCCCTCTCACAAAATTTTTTGGGTCCGTTACTGAATAACAGATCCAGAATGCAGAAGCGAAAAAAAAGAAAACAAGATCTCTAAGGATAAACAGCAACCCAAGAACACTAGGGTGACGTTCTATGAAGTCACGGAATTTAAAAGAAAACAAAATGCGAAAGCGATATTTTAAAAACGAATAATTTTAGCCTTAGAACAAAATAATAATTTTCAGAAAGTTATAAGTGCTACCATGCGGCTTATATGAAGAACATAGATTGGTTTTTCTTAATTTGTTTTAGTTTCTGCCACTAGAGGGAGTGTAGAGGTGTCGGCAGCAAAGGAAATGGGAGGAAGCCATGGTTGCTGGAGCAGGGATGGAGCCAATTAAGGACCAGGAGGGGCACGTGCCCCCCCGGGGAATTTTCTCCCTCTCTTATATTCTATATATATTTTATAATAATATATATGTTTTTTTTAATGAAAATATGAAAAATGCCCACCTGAATTTTCTCATTCTCCATAGAATTCTATATATGTTTCATATTTTTTTATCCTAAATTGTTTCTTTAATCCTTATATTCTATATCTATAAATTAATTTCATTCCAAAAATATCATTATCTCTTTCTATATATATATATATATATATATATATATATATATTGACTTATATACATGTACATTATATTATAAATATATGATATGGTATGCAGTACTATAATATGCTCCCCTGAAATTTTTTTCTGGCTTCGTCCCTGTGCTGGAGTGTGTGATGTATCAATTTGAAGGCAGGTGAAGGAGGAAGACCACCATCTCAAGCTTAACCAATGCTTGTTTCATGTGTAGATTTTTTATTATTTTCTCGGTAGGTATGTGACTGTGTGAATACATATATACATAATATATATTGTGTTTGAAATAAGTGTGAATGAATACTGTATAGTCTGTATATATAGTAAAGAGCTTTGTTGAAGTGGTATTTTATTTTTCTGTTTTTTTTTTCTTCTAAATTTGAGTTTCTAAAACAAATGTGTGGGTATGTAATTTGCATACTCAAGAAGAGAAAAAACAAATAAATAATGATAAGAATCATAAGATGACTTCATGTGAACATAAATACATTTATGTGTACGTAAGAATTCTAATGACCTGTGGGAAGTGATCAGGGTCGTGTACTGCTGTACAAAATGGATCTGGACACATGTTTAAAGGTCAACCAATTAAGCAACTTTTTTTTATTGCAAAGTGTGGGAAGTATGTTAGTTTGCAGTCACCAAGGATGTTAAGTATCAATTTACTCGTTATTAAACTATGTTGTCTTGCATAAGTTATACATGATAGCGTGCTCTTCCAATAACATTGTGCCGCGTGTTGAGAATTTTTTTTAGGAAAGAAAAAAATACATACGTACATATATAAATATATAATAACAAAAAATTGTTATGACTCCTAAGAGTCTAAGACCCACGCCGTTTCATCATCCTCTTTTTCCTTTTCTACATAAAAAAGCCCTATAATGCATACACAAGCGCACCCTTATTGCTTTAGGTAAAGTATACACAAACACACCCTTAGACATGCATATCTACATACTAATTAAGTAGCACTTACATCAAATTAAATAATTTAAATGGGTTTTGATTGAACAGAGTCATGAATCATGTTAAATCATCGAGGAGGGAGATTTATGTGAAAAGACAATTGTGTCGGTAATCAGTATATACGAAAAAAAATTCTTTTGTTTTTTTTGAAAGTTAAAAATTCTTTTGTTGTCCTAATAAACTAGAAAATTCAAATTTTTACAACGAAGAGCAACAGAAAGATAGGTAGTCAATAATGAACACTGTCAATAAGTAAATATGCGAGCAACCCATGTTATGAAATAAGGATCGAGTAAGAGTTGATGAGAATAAGAGAAAAATAAATGACAAGAAAATAAATAAACACACACACAAACAAGATAAGAATTTACGTGGTTCGGTTATGCCTATATCCACGGGGAGAAGACAGAACAATATTTCACTGTGAAAATAAAGAGATACAAGGCAAAGTTTCTCACACCCAAAACTCAATTACACCCACAAGCTCTCTCACTCTAACTAATATTACAAAAATGCTTAAACTGATGATGATCTTGGATGATTCGTAATGCCATGGTCGTAGACTATTTATAGCCAAGAAAACATCAATATATCTTGCTCATCAAGCATACTTGTTGTCCACATATTAAACTGTTACTTGGTGACCACACATACACAGCTTATTGATTACACTCCTTAGTTGCCAAGGTGCTGGGGTAAGTGGTGATGAAAAATGCTTGCTAATTACACAAACTAGTGGTTCCCAGCTAAAGTATGTAACCTCAATTTGAGCCATATATTCAACAAATCTCCACCTTGGCGAAAATTTAAATGAGCCACTGTATCTCTGCCAAACAATCTGTCTTCTCCACAAAACAAATTAATTAAGAATTTTAGTTAAGTTTGAGTCATCCTCAAACTTAACCCCCGGGCTCTCATTCTTCAACCAATGCATATCTTGCGCAGTCACAAGCATACCTCCAGTATTTCTGTCAAACTCTAAGTGCTTACCAAAAACATCATCAGAAACTCTAAGTTTGACATTTCTTTCAGCAACCTTCTCCAACCGCCCACAAACCACCGGCTGGTAATGAAAAGTCATTTTCTCACCCTTGTAGAGAATATGACGTCCTTGACTTTTCCTCGCATCTCTGTTGGGACCAACTATTTGCCTCCCACACATCTTAATGGCACTCGAATGGACTATCTCATTGCCACCAAGATTATTGCAAATCAATATCACACCTGTCCTCATGGGTTTGCCTCCCTGTAAGAACTGTTGCAATTTCGGTTGCTATCTGAAAACAGATTTCATTCTCCCACCATGTTGTGTAGTCCCCTCACAACCCTTTTGAGAACTAAGATCGTAGCTCCTCTTTCGAACTCTTCTTTTGCCAAGACCTGAACACAGATTTCTGCTAGTTGTAAAAGACCCTGTAGAAGCTCCACCTGTTACTGTATTCCCTTAGAGAAGATACAAATTATTCACCTTGGTGCCTTGTAGCACTACAAGAGAATCCATCACGACCATCATTGCTCCACCCTCTGTTACAACCTTGTAACCTTTGGAGTCTAGCATACCCACTGAAATAAGATTCATCTTCAGATTCGGTACATGTCGCACATCTGACAATGTTCTCACCAACCCATTGTGCGTCTTGATCTTGATTATTCCAATTCCCCAAATTTTGAAAGCTTTACTGTCCGCCGTCAAAATCGAACCACCTTTCACCTCTTTATAGGAAGAGAAAGAATTCCTACTGGGACACATATGAACAGAGCAACCAGAATTAAGAATCCAACTGTCATTAAATGACATACATGAACACGAGGTTGTCATGAGAACATATTCATCACTTTTCGAATCACTCGTTGTAGCAGTTGCCACAGAAACTGTTTCTTGAACCTTTTCTTTACCATTCCCATTCTTTGCCTTTAGTTTGGGACAATGTTTGATGTTTGCCACATCTCGTGACAGTAGTAACATTCCACATTTTTATGAGATTTAGATTTGCCCCTACTAGCAGAACCCTTTGTCCTACCTTTGCCTGTTACAAATAGACCCTCGGCCTGTTCATCTCCAATATTCTCAGACACATTTTTCCTCAACTCTTGAGAGTTTAATGAGGATTTAACATCCTCCATACTAATAGTATCTTTTTCATAGAGCAATGTGGTAACAAAATGCTTATAGGAAGGAGGCAAAGAATACAACAAAATAAGAACTTGATCCTCATCATCAATTTTAATATCAGTATTTTGCAAATCCATAATAATAGAATTGAAATTATCAATATACTCCTTAAGAGGCATACAGTCCTTCATACGAAGGGTGTAGAGTCTCTGTTTCAGGTAGACTCTGTTGGTGAGCGATTTCGTCATATACAGACTTTCTAATTTCAGCCATAACTTTGCCGCCGTGTCTTCATCAATAACTTCATGCAGCACCTCATCAGCTAGATTCAGAATAATCGCACTACGCGCCTTTTCATTGACCTCATCCTTGTCTTCATCGGACATAGTTGTTGGCAACTTGTCCTTCCTGAACACCACTTTCTTTAGACCTTGCTGAGTCAGCAGGGCCTGTATCTTAATGCGCCAAAGACTAAAGCTAATCTTGCCATCAAATTTCTCAATCTCGTATCTGGTTGTCATCTCAAAAAACTCCCCAAAAAATTACTTGGTGAATAGTACCGTATTTGTGAACAATACCCGAATAGTTACTATGAATAGTACCGTATGTGTGAATAGTATCTGTACACAATACACTCTGATACCAGTTTGTTATGAAATAAGGATAGAATAGGAGTTTATGAGAACAAGAAAAAAATAATGACAATAAAATAAATAGGCACACACACAAACGAGATAATAATTTACGTGGTTCGGCTATACCTACATCCACGGAAAGAAGACAGAACAATATTTCACTGTGAAAATAAAGAGATACAAAGCAAAGTGGCTCACACCCAAAACCTAATTACACCCACAAGCTCTCTCACTCTAACTGATATTACAAAAATGCTCAAACTGACGATGATCTTGGATGATTGGGAATGCCATGGTCATAGGCTATTTATAGCCAAGAAAACATCAATATATCTTGCTCATCAAGCATACTTGTTGTCCACGTATAAAACTGCTACTTGGTGACCACACATACACAGCTTGTTGATTATACTCCTTAGCTGCCAAGGTGCTGAGGTAAGTGGTGATGAAAAATGCTTGCTGATCACACAAATTAGTGGTCCCAGCTGAAGTATGCAACCTCAATTTGAGCCATATATTCAACAACCCACCTAAAAAATATTCTAATATTCAAGACATTAGAGAAACGAAATATGAACATTTCTCAACCGTATTCATTTTTACAGACGTAGAAATGTAGAAGAATCAAGACTAGACTTCTCCTTACATGATTAACAATCGCAATAAATTTTGTTAGATGAAAGGTACTCTGATGAAAAGTTAAGGGTCTGTTTGGCTAATACTTTTGTTTCGGTTTGTTGTCATTTGAATAGTACCAAAACGCTTTTAAAATTGAGGCTAAAATAAGAAGCATCAAAATGATACTTTTGTTTGCTTCTGCACCGTTACAAAAATAAAAAATAAAAAAAATAAAAAAAAAATTCTAAATTAACATTTTTAATTAGCCATTCAACTTTTCAAACTTGTAACATTTTTTACTAAACATGCTTTCACATTTTTGCTTTAAAAAATTTTGTAACAAATTTATGTTACTAAACGAGTTTTGAAACAGTGTTAACATACTCTGAAACGGAAACATTACTTCTCCTGCCGTAAGTTTTTAAGCTTATACTTAAATAGCAAGGTCAATCTCATGTATCTAAGAATAAAACAGAAAAGTTGAGACGTATGTGAAAATACTGAGAAGTGCATTACATTCACATTGCTTTAGCTTTCTTTTTCTCCAACCTTCTGGATATTACATGATTGGGCCTTTCAATATATTTTTCCTCCCAAGTAAAACGAGGCTTTCCAGGTAAGGAACCAAACGAAACGAGTATTGTTTTGCACTGATTCCAATATCTTTTTTGCTATTGGGACCATATGAAACCAAACTACAATCATCCATTCGCACAACAACTTCACCCGTTTTCCTAAATCCTAAAACCTTGCTTCTTCTTCCTATATCAACAATGAACAATCTGGTCCAAGAACTCGCTACACCATATTCTTTCATCACCCATATGCAACAACTCATAATTGTGCCACATCTGTACTCGAACAGAGAAACATAATCCCCAAAAGGTGCAACAGACAACCTCAGCACCGGACCGCCATTAGCGACAGCGTCCGGAGGCATCATCACCTTGAAAACCTCACTACACATATCAAATGACAAAATCAAATACCCATTCCCTCGCCTTGCAATCCAATGTGAAGCCCCATTCACAAAAACATGTGAAGTATGACATACAATCATGGGATATGGAAGAGCAGCAGAACCAATGCTGCTTCTCCACATACCGGTGCTAAGCTCATAAACATCAACCTCGGATTCAAACGTGTTGAGACCGTAAACAATTCTCACAACCTTGTAGTCATAAGTCCGAGAATCGAACCCGAACCCAAGAATGCACTCGGGGGAGTGAGATCTAATACTACGTGCTGGTGCCGGTACCGGAAGTCTCACGTATTTGTCAATGGCTGGATTCCACAGGATGATCAATTTTTCACGTAACTCGTGGGACAAACATATTAATCCATTAATTGAACCCACCATTATAAAGTAAGAGATTGAGGAAGAGGAAAAAAAAGTGCACTCATATGACTTATACTGGACGAATGTTTCGTCATCGCAATGTATTGAGCAGTGCTCTTTCTTGTCAATGATGCAATACCTAAGGAGTAGCGATGGAGTGGTGCGAATTCGATTGGTGTGTGTGGTGATGAAAGTAGGGTTGTTGATAAGATCGTACCATAATTTGCAAACGCACCTGATTTGCAGGAGAGTCTTGGTGGGTAGTCTTGTGAAGATATCGGTCAAGACTTCTTGAGGTATATAGTAAGACATTGTCCAAACCTCTGATCCTAAAACCCTACAATTTGAGTACTTTTATATATATATACGATTATTCAAAGTAAACGTGTTTGAATTTCAAATTAATATTAAAAATAAATAAATATTTAAATAAAAGAAATTATCAATTAAAACTTAAAAGTTACCGATTAAAATATAAATATTTTTTAAAAAGTTACTAGTTAAAAGTTAAAAATTACCAATTAAAATACAAACTTATTTAAAACAGTTAAAAGTTAGAAGTTACCGGTTAAAATACAAACATATTTAAAAGTTAACAATTAAAATACAGGTCTTTTGAATTTCAAATCATCATTAAAAATAAATAAATATTTAGATAAAATAAGTTATCAATTAAAAGTTACCAATTAAAATATAAACATATATTAAAAAGCTACCAATTAAAAGTTAAAAATTACCAATTAAAATACAAACATATTTAAAACAATTAAAATACAAACATATTTAAAACTTACCAATTAAAATACAAACATATTTACAATTAATAAGTTATTGAAACTTTCAAATCATCATTAAAAATAAATAAATATTTAAATAAAATAAGTTATCAATTAAAAGTTAAAAGTTAGCAATTAAAATACAAACATATTTACCATTAATAAGTTATTAAAACAATAGAATCCTTCGAGGGTTAGGGCTGATGCAGAGCAAATCCTCAAGGCAAAAAGCATAGCAGCGGAGCAAATTCTTAGGGCTAATACAAGGGTTAGGGCTGATACACGGCAAAACAAATCCGCAAATCCTCAGGGCAACTCTTTTTTCTTCTCCTTTATTATTTTCAACACAGGCACTCGTACCCACAATATGTTTTACAATAATTTCATTCAGATGTTTGTTGTCGACAATATGCTTTACAATAATTTCAGTCTTTTATATGTGTCTTGCCTATCAATCGATTGTGAAGTTTCTAAGATTGTTTTTTTTTTTTCCCCCTTTGATTTTACTAACATTGTGGCCTTGCACAGTCTCTGTTTTTATCATCATTGATGTCTATAATGAGAGAGCAACAGGAGGGGATACAGACTCCTTTATTATTTACTAGCATTGTGGCCTTGCACAGTATTTCTGTTTTTATCCTTTTTATTTAGTTGAATGGATAAGCTTGTATTAAAAGAAGAAAAGATATGTATAAGGTCCATGAAGAATGGACAGAGTTCCAAGGCTGCAAACAAGTACTACATAAAACAATACATCAAATACTACCATGCCTTGAAAAACCTAAACAGTAATTAAACTGAAGAGGCATACACAATAACATAGCAACACCGAGCACCACTAAACTTCCATGCCAACGATACAGCACACGAACCCAGTCAGACAAAACATCCATGATCCCATGAGACCCAAAGAAGAGAGTAGGGTCCACGCTAGTAACTGGGCCAAGAAAAACATCACAACCGATGTGATATCAAAGTCTCCACTACAGGTATGGATACGTATACGTATGCCTTTATTGAATACCTTGGGGTATGGCACCCCGGGGCATCCCAACCCTGGGTGTGATAGGGCCTACCACCACATTCATAATTCAATGGCTATCACTATCCCGAGTACCATACCTTTGGGATATTCAATAATTTCTCGTAACAACGAAGTTAGACTTTAAAAGCTAATGAGATGACATCCTGGGTGGGTCCCCACGCCTTCAAGAAAGATCGGAAGACAGAAACTGTAACAAGCTGCACCTTGCAAGCGACGAAACTTCAGTACTCATTCTGTCAACAACAAAATAACACCGGTGACCCAAGATATTCCTGGATCGTTCCTTACCAATAGGAAGAACATCGTTACGAAGAGCCCTTGGAACCATCAACAGAACATGTCGACTTGGATCACAAATCAGTTTGCCCTCATGATAATGGAAATGAACACCCCTATCAAAGGATTGGGAAATATCACTCGTATCCGGCAAACTACGAAGCTGTTGAACCACTGCTCCAATAGAGCCTTTAAACGAAACAACCATATTATCAGGCCCCCACCCTGATTTAACGAAACCATCATGATCGGTAACTTGGGAGGTTCCTTCTAACAGGCAAACACCTGGGGTCAGAAGCGAGAAGGTCCCAGAATCCCCAACAACAAGGAAAGAGGTGCAAACACTCCGAAAAATCCTTAGCGGTTTCAGTCATCACAACAGAGACACATCGCCGACCCTGACTAGCAACCCAAACACCGGTGATAGTCTGATGCACCATCGGACCACTAGTTCCCTGACCGCACATCCACAACCCAGAAGCGACGCCATCAATTACTGCCATGTAATTTAGTAGAACAAGAAGGTTAATTAAAAAAGGGACTTGGACCAATACCCAGATCAAACGTATAGATTGTGTGTCCCTCCTCAGAAGACCAACCAATGCTCCAAAAGCCGTGAAGGACCACCATCACCACAAATGTTACCAGCCTGATTGAGGAGTAGAGGGAAGCCATACCAAAGAACACCGAACCACCAGAGAGAAAGTGGAGAACTCTGATCAAACAGAAAACCTCTGCACAGAGAGGAACCTTTATGGAAGAGAGAAAACAAAACCGGGTGGGGTAATCTAGATTATTATACAACAATCTTGTCATTGCAAGAAGAACTTCAGCAATCACAATGTGACACCTCAAAGAAGGAGACAGGATTATCTGTGAGCAACACAACAATCTAGTCACTACAAGGAGAACTTTAGCAAACACAAAGTCTCACAATGTGTCATCTCAAAGAAGGAAACAAGATTGTTTATGAGCAAACTCACAGCCCTCTGTGAAAAGTCTCTGCAGGTCAATCAGTGAGCCAATCTTCCTTAAGTCTGCCCCTCTACTTATCTTTATAGAAGCACGTCTTGCTCTAACACAACTCTTAATTGTTCTAATGATCGAGGAGATGTGGAGGAGAAGACTTGTTAATAAATGCCCTTGCATTCCTTTCCTGCCAAATGAAGTAGACTGCAGCTGATAAGAGTAACTTATGAGTGATGAATCTACTTTGAGTCCACGAATTAGAACACCAAACAATAAGATCATTTTGGCTGTTTGGTAAAATATAGAAGCCTGCAGCATGCTAAATGAATTCCCAAATAGCACTATTATATTTGCAAATAAAGAAAAGATGGTCCAAAGACTCCCAGTTAGCAAGACAAAGGAAGCAGGCATTAGTATTGTGCTTGGGTTTTGAGTCCATAAGTATAAAGTCTATGTCTAAGAGCCAACCAAGCAATATGGCCATGCTTTGGAATATGATGCTTAAACCAGATGAGTTGGGCCCATGAAAATAACAGTGATATATGGAGGTGTGTAATTAATATTCCATGGTAAGTCTATGTGAGTAATCCATTGGGGTACTTGGCAACCATTGTATCAAGTCTAGTACTGATGCAAGGTCTGCAATGCTACGTAGTTGTGACAAAAAACCATTAGATTGAAAGACTGAGAAGTTTTGCAGGGATGATGGAATGGTCCACTGAAAGTTGAAAATTAGGCTATCAACTTTAACTTGTTTTTATCCTTGTTAAAGTCCATATTTGGTTTATTCATAATAAATTTTACATTGAATTGATTTTTCTAAAAAGTTAAAAAGTAATTGAATTTGTTTATTCAGTTCTCTCCTTTCGATTTTATTCTTAATTTGTTTTCTTATCTTCTATTTATAAATTGAAGATGTATTTTTATCACACAAGGTTTAAAACAAAAGGCTTACCAAACAGGGCCAAATATTGTAATATGCCCATTTTACCTTTTCGAATATACCAGAGGGGAGTCTATACTTGCTTTTTGTAGGGTGTTAAGTGCAAATCAACCCCATTTAACCCACTTTTCAGACTTTTTCTTCCTATGTCTACAACTTGTTCTCTTTTCATATTTCCTCTATAGTAATGTATTCTATAGTAATGTATTCTTTCTCTTTGAGTTCTCACACTCTACAATAACCTCTTATGGCATTATCTTCAACCTCAACAAATCATTCTTACTTTAATGTGTTAGGTGGGACTTTGTGCACATGAGATGATTGATATGCAATGTGGTATTAAGTGCACCTTACCTCTTTTAAAATAATGTGAAATTTGTGTATATAAAGTATTTTGCTGAGTGCATTATTTTAATATGTGAGGTGAGACTTATTTGCAATTTATTTTTATTTTTTATTTATTTTTAGTGCACCTCAGGAGATTGATATACAGGGTAAGAATATCACATGAGTGTTTTTCAAATTTGGGATTTTTTGGGCACATCAGGAGGTTGAATATGCACGGTAATATCAAAGGAGCAAAATTGGGGATGTTTTGTGTGATGTCCATCACTTTTTCGATTTTTTGAGTATTTCTTATTTTCGGCATAAGTGTTTATTTCATTACCTCGGGTTGCGTGCCATGTTTGGGATTACATGTCATGAAGGTTTTATAGTGATTTGGAGTGTTTCATGGAGTTTGGGAAGCATGGATATGCTAATTGAACCGTTTGGACAGTTTATGGATTTTTGGGCCAAGCGACTCGTGTGGGTCCCACGCCAAAATTTTTGGGTTTTGGAGTTATTTTCTTAATTGAAAAATAATTATCTTGGATGTCATTTATATAATTCATGAGGGTGGAATGGTCATTTGATGATGTGATGGCATGGTTGTAGTTTAATGAATATGTAGGGGCATTTTGGTCATTTCCAATGACCCTTTGTGAGTTTGACACTTAAGCATGCACTTGGC